AGCTGGGGACTAGTGAAAAGACAGTTGGTCACCGTCCTGAGAATAAACCAATGAAATACCCCTGTAGTTTTCAGGACCTGATTGTATCAAACCTTCATTAACCAATGGCTACATTAAACCCAAATGATACATTTAATTCTTAATGCACCGTTAGTTAATGGCATCATTAAAATCGGTTGTATCAAACGTTTATTAGCGCATCATTATCTAACGATGCCTTAATGTAAGTGTTTTCATTGACCTGTCATTAAGTTCGGGGTTTCCCTTAAATATTTACCACAATTCCCTGTCGTAAACACGTACGCCTTACTTCCGGTTATCTCAGACTGTCAAAATGACATCGAATCCACCTACACCTAGGTAAACCTAGGAAAAGAAACAAGACAGGTTTTGTGGTGAGGAAAAATAATAGCTTTTGTCCACAATTCAGGAAGTGTACCCATATCAAAGATCTTACAATACAAAGCAGATTGGAAGGGCATTATAAAAAAAACACCGAAGTGTATTTCCTGTTTCGTCAAGACCAGTAGATTGGCCGGTTTTTGTAAACGATGCATCGCATTTTGTATTTCCTCCTTGCCAATACGAGATTCAGTACTACACTTGTATTGTTTGATGGGCATTTCTAAGAATTTGACGGATGACAGAAATCAATGGAGAAGAACTTCTTTTTTATACTGTACTAGCGACGTTTCGATGTAGATCCTTGTACCGTTGTCAAGCAAGGACAACGCTGAAACATATTGCTTGACAACGGTATCTACTGACATGTCGCTAACACAATGCAAGATTAGTACTGAATCTCGTATTGGCAAGGAAGAAATACAAAATACGATTAATCGTTTATAAAAAGGCTTATCTACTGGTGTTGACGAAACTATAATAGGAAAAAAACACTTCGGTGTCTTTTATTAATTGGTACAACGTGGCAATGTACTGCAAATCAATAAGACATCACTTCCAACGTACCACAAACACAACAGTGGAGAGTAGTTTCGCCATCTTTGAGTGTTATGTCAAAAAACATCAGCTGCAGGCATTCGCGTCATGCTTACAGTCAATCACTAATCTCTCAACTCAAAATATATTGAAACACACAATGAGGCCCTGAAGCCCACCCTAATTATGGAGATATATTGGCGTCTCTGTTTAACCCTCTTCATCGATGTAAATATTAAACGGATTTTCAAAACAGGCAGTGCTTTGTTCTAACCGATATTTAGCTATGCGTAGAAATACAGCGATTTTGCCACTTTTCATCGTCGTTCCGACAAAAGTAGAGTGCGACGAACGTTTTTACGAAAACTGTGAGCGAAGAAACTACTTGCCTATCAACATAAATATATATCAAAGGGATTTGCATGTTCGTGTTAAACGTTCTACATTCGATGCGAAAAATAACATGTCACAACAGTCGGTTTTCCTCTATGACGTCAAAGATAATGGACCAACTTGAGGAACGTGATTGCATATTGTTGTTTGGCCTGGCTGGATGTGGTAACACCAGGTTTCATCCAAAGTCACAAGTTGTTGCAAGAACCTTACTGTATCAGCTTCAAACAGAGGTAGATTTTCACATATTGTGACATATTGTGCCTGGTGCGTTTTACATCAGATGTCAGAAGCTTTGGACCAAAACGAACGGATACTTTCTTCATTGCCAAAGTTTCGGTGATAATGGAATGTTCTGTCTCCTCGGGAAATGCCAAATGAACCAGCAATATGGCGCTCAGTCATTCACTGGTTGATGCATGCCATCGTATCCCAACATTGTAACATTGCTGAGTGCGGTGTTAAACAACAAACCAACAACAACAAACAACAATATGGTGTAGCGCCAATGATGCGAGGACTTAACGTTGTGATGCAGTATCCATTCAGAGAGGTTTATGACCAGTAGTCATCTTGATGCCAATCCCTGGCAGATGGGGTGAAATGTGGTTTAACGTCCCATTCAAGATTATCTCATTAACCATATTCTCTCTGCTAGATGCTGAGTCATACTCTCTGTCCAAAGAATATACGCCAGGCCTCTATTAGCCTCTCCAATATGTGATATGTTAGCTTCTAATAAAGACCATTGTATCTTTTGTACGACTGTAAAATTTAGGATTTGGTAAGGTCATTCACCAGTCAGTCTTCACCATATAGTGAAATCTCTGGATTATGTCTGGAGTAGCTGACATAATAAGCAACAATGACATTTTCATAATAGCTACAGTGGATGTCGGATGGGAATTCTTTTGGTGACAAAATAACTAGGATCGTTCATACAGTTTGAGCTTGACAGGCCTTGTAGTTTCCAAGGAGATGTCGGTGAATGAAGCGTGAACAATTCCAATAGCTTTTGTTTATGCCCGTGACGCCCAAATTGGATTCAGTGACTCACGTTTTTACTCGAGTTTTTGTTGTGTGCATGTTTGTTTGTAGTTTAACGCCACACTCAGCAGTATTCCAACTATATGACGGCGGTCTGTAAATAATCGAGTCTGGGCCAGACAATCCAGTGATTGACATCATGAACATCGATCCATGCAATTGGGATACGATGACATGCATCAACCAAGTCAGCGAGCCTGACCACCCGATCCCGTTAGTCGCCTCTTACTAAGACCTATTTTATTGTATGAAATCTATCACACCACGATTCTTTAACCCTATGGGCATTTTTGAATAGAACTGAGTTCCGGTCCACAAAGCGATATTAGCCTACGACGATTGTAATCCCTTGTTTCCAGGTTGTTATGCAGCTGGAATACAGTGCCTTGTTAAACATGATTCTTTCAACTCGAGTGTAATCGACATAGCCATTTCATTGTGTTTCAGTAGTAGTCAGCAAAAAAAGCTACCTGTTTGTTTTTACAAAGATTGACTCCTTTCACGTGCATGCGTTTGCTTCTACAATCTAAAATTGACCTTTCTTTTATCTGTTCAAGAACACATCGTTATAGATGTTCAACTTGGGGAACGTAATCAATAAAGATAGGCACTGAAAAACAGAACGCAATGATTAAGATCTATATACTTAAGGTAAGGAACCCTGAAGATCTGGGTCGAAAAGATCTTCAGCAACCCATTCTTGCCGTGAAAGGTGACTATACATGTCATAAGAGGCGACAAACGGACCGGGTGGCCAGACTTGGTTGATGCATGTCATGTATCCCAACTGTGTGGATCGATGCTCATGTCAATCACTGGATTGTCTGGTCCAGATGCGATCTTTAACAGAACAAGGCCATATCGTTTGAATATTGCTAAGTGCGGCGTTAAAGAACAAACACATAAACAAACTTATGGCAAGACAAAAATGATCGCCTGAATTGCATAGTGGCAAAAAGTTGGCCAAGATTATGCTGAGCTACACGGCTTTCGTGAATCCACCTCTGAGGTTGGTTGGTTTGTTGTTTAAGGCCGCACTAGGCAATATTCCAGCTATATGACGTCAGTGAATGACATCATGAGCATCAATCCACGCAATTTGGATCGATGACATGCATTAACCAAGTCAGCGAGCCTGACCACCCGATTCCGTACTTACGACAAGCATAGTCGCCTTTCACGGCAAGAATGGGTTGCTGAAGACCTATTCTACCCCGGATCTTCACGGGTCCAACCTCTGAGACTAATGTCAGATCAGGTCAAGGCAGTACCTGGATGTTCCCATTCCTCAAAAGAACTGACAGACCAGCTGTGTGTGGTAGAGTGTTTCAATTCAAACGGTGGCGAAGTCAGACACCCAAAGGGAACAGGACTGACCTCAAGTCCTGATCACGTTTACGAACCCTTGTCAGTCACCGATGATGTCTGTCCTATAGCTGTAGGTGGTGTCAACCAACTATATAACATATCCACTATCATAGGAGTTGTTCTGTTCTGTGGTACACCAGTCTGGCCATACGAAAGTCAGTCGCGACAATATGACCTAATCACTCAATATGGTGTTAGCGGGATCGGGTGGTCAGGCTCGCTGACCTGGTTGATGCATGCCATCGTATCCCAATTGGATGGATCGATGCTCACGATGTCAATCACTGGATTGTCTGGTCCAGACTTGATTATTTACAGACCGCCGTCATATAGCTGTAACATTGCTGAGTGCGGTGTTAAACAACAAACCAACAACAACAAACAACAATATGGTGTAGCGCCAATGATGCGAGGACTTAACGTTGTGATGCAGTGTCCATTCAGAGAGGTTTATGACCAGTAGTCATCTTGATGCCAATCCCTTGCAGATGGGGTGAAATGTGGTTTAAGGTCCCATTCAAGATTATCGCATTCACCATATTTTCTCTGCTAGATGCTGAGTCATACTCTCTGTCCAAAGAATATACGCCAGGCCTCTATTAGACTCTCTTATATGTGATATGTTAGCTGCTAATAAAGACCATTGTATCTTTTGTACGACTGTAAAATTTAGGATTTGGTAAGGTAGTGAGTTGTCAGCACAGAATAGACGCTGGACCTCTAATAGACAGGCAAAATTAAGAGAAGCCTGGGCATCGAATAGAAGAAATACAGTACATAGCAACATGCATGCAGGTGTGTTTATATCGCAGTTGAATATGGATACCCAACTCAGACATAGTATACTGACTCCGAGTGGACCAGTCCTTGTTTTATCCCAGGCAGAGTAACAGGAAGTTACAATACATAATGTCTTATGGTACGACTCAGCCGGGGATTGAACCTCCGACCATCTGCTTTCAACCGATTGTGCATAATGCAATAACTTGTCCTTGCAGCCGAATTGCAAATCAGACCTGACCTTCTTGTACAGATTCAGCTGTTACTGGGAACAAGCACGTGGGATGTTTACAGACGAAAATAGCACTTTTAGTCAGGTAAGCTTAAAACTGATCAACATACAAATGAAAGTTGTCCGAAAAGATAATACTGGCATTGAATAGACATTGTAGTACATAGATAATGTCATGTGGTATATTGAAGTCTGCAATTTCGGGCACGGATCGAAAATCTTTGGTAAAAAAACGTCTGTCAATTTCTTTGAAAATGTTTTATTCTCTTATCTACAATTTTAATTTCACTGAGGATGTTTTCTTCTGGCTCTTTTTCTTGTCTGCCTGCCTGTGTTTGACGTGAGATGACACCTCATCCTGTAGCTTGGTGAAGAAGGCAGAAGAAGACGTCAGACTTGTCTTACTGGAATCACTCTGAAAGATAAAAGCAAGATGTCTTCATAGATCCTGTTGTTTCTCATATTAGCCTTATGCAGAGTACCATTTCTTAAAATCAAAATCAGTTTATCAAATAATCCAATACAAGCTCAAATCCAAATTGCCATCACTTTTCATAATTTTGAGAACGACACACATACTTTGATGAATGGTTGGTGTTGAATAGCGTGTATCTGCGCTGCACACAACTCCCTTTTAATTTTTAAATTTAGTCAAAGTGTGTGGCTTCTTTTAACTGCAACATATCAACCTCTATTGGCGTCATCCTATTGTTTTTACGGGGCCTGCATTTCATACAATGACCTCTCAGCAGGACATCATCAGTCTGTCCTGCGATATTCTACAGTAAGTCCCCCCGCAACAGATATATTTTGCATTTGAGTGAGTGAGTGAGTATGGTTTTACGCCGCTTTTAGCAATATTCCAGCAATATCATGGCGGGGGACACCAGAAATGGGCTTAACACATTGTACCCATGTCGGGAATCGAACGCTTTAATCACTAGGCTACCCGACCGCCCCATTTTGCATTTGAACACAATCCACATAAGGAAGTATCTTCTTTATAGTTCAGTGGAAATAACTTGCAATTTTGATACTTGTATAAAGGCACTGATTAAAGAATCTATTTCACAAGTACATGTGTGCCAGGAAGACATATTTTACATCCCTTTCCTAAGGTTCAAATTTGTTATAGGTTTATAGTTGGACAAAATCGTTCAACTCAGACCTGTAAAGGTTCATAGGGGCATTGAAAAGACATTCTGATACTATCCAGGGGCATCAGGAAAATGGAGCACACTGTGGGGTACTATCATGTGCAAAGAAACAAGTCATCTATTATTAGGGTGCCTCTTTCGACAAAATAGCTTGCTGGGGAAAGACAACGTTTTTATCAGGTGATCAACGAAAATAACAAAAATTGCCACATTCCAAATAGCAATGCCATCTGAACATCCAGGAGTGGCACAGCTCTCACCTTCATGAGTGTGACCGAACTGTCGGACTTGCCAATCTTCTCCAGATCCCGAAGAGCCTTCTCCTTGCTGTACTTGTTCCCTAGCCCTGGGTTCAGCTTGGACACCAGCTTCTCCCGCTGTTCACGCTCCTTCCTGCGAACTCTCTTCCTCTCCTTCTTCTCCCTGTGGTCCCTCTTCTTGTCCTCCGTTGTCCTCTCAGTCTCTCCTTTCAAATCTCGCTTTGCCTTCTCCTGCACACACAAACAAGATTGTAGATGATAAGGCAAAGTAAATGGAAGGGTCAAGAAGGTTTTGTGCTTAAACAAATTTGTCATGTGTGTGTCATATTTGTCTGACAAGGCTGAACATTACTATTGAGCCTTTATGAGTGAGTGGGTATGGTTTAAAGCCGCTTTTAGCAATATTCCAGCAATATCATGGCAGGGGGACACCAGAAATGGGCTTCACACAGAGCTTTAATGAAGTGAATCACAGTACATGTACTCCTTTATACATCTTCCACTTACCTTTACTTCCTCTGGCGCCAACAACTTCTGGTCACTGACGCTGACAGGTGCGACCTCCTCCATTGCTATCGTGGGCATGTTGGACACAATCTTCAGTTCTGGCCGGGCCTGACAAGAGAATCCATCAAATAAGAGATGACACTGAACAGGCATATATAACATGGCATGTGAAGCAACTGTTTGACTGGCATTCTAGAAGTTAATGAGTAAATAGGAAAACATACAACATTGTGGGTTTAACTTCTGCTTTATTGCATTTAGCAACATTTCAATGTAGATTCTTACACTGTTATCTACTCCAGCTTGATAACGGTGTAAGAATCTACATTGAAAGGTCGCTAAATGCAATAAAGCAGAAGTTAAACCCACAAAGTTATTTGTTTTCTTGCTGGGATGAGAAGAATGAACAACGATAGTGTGAGTGAGTGAGTGAGTGAGTGAGTGAGTGAGTGAGTGAGTGAGTTGGGTTTAACACCGCTTTTAACAGTATTCCAGTTATATCGCGGCGTGTCAGCCTAATGTGGGAGGAAAGCCCGAAGTGATGCAGGTCTCAGACGTTTACCACTTAGGTGAAACCCACGAGCATGGGTATGGTGCTGACACATCATAGGTTTCTGGCGTGTTCAAGGGACGCAACTCTGCACAGCGAATCGCGGCGCCTTAGAGGACTGGGCCCCCCGTGCCCCCTGAACAACGATAGAAGTATCATGATAGTCAGGGGTGGGATGTGAAGAGTGGACGCTCCTGTGTCAACCAGAATTATAATACTATCACTGTCAACCAGTATTGACAACAAGTATTCCTATATATTCAATACTATTTGTGTCAATTAGTATCCATCTTAATACTCTCTCTCTCAAATTACATCCATCTCAACACTATCAGTGACAATTACGACTGTCAATATGCATGGTAATTTCCATTTTAATACAATCATTGTCAATAACACCAAGTATTATCAGGATGCCCGTACTTGTTCTGTGCTAGTGACCTAACAGAAACAAGCTAGTTTGTTTATCTGTTGTTTTATGCAGCACTCTGCAATATTCCAAACAATCAAATCTGGACCAGAATAAACAATGCCGTCGGGGTACAAAGAAAAACCATTAACCATGTCACGGAGTCTGAGTACCTGATCCATTTAGTGGACCCTTATGACCAGCATAGGCTACTGGGGAACTATTCCCCAAGCCTCGTCGCTATATAGCTGAGATAATTTTAACTCACTCACTATTCCCCAATCAGGAACCAATGAGACAGGAAAGTATTATCAGGCAAAAAGCTAAATACCTCTTTTGGTGTGTAGTGGAAGTTTGACAGTGCATCAAGCTTGAGGAACAAAGATCTCATGGACTTGCGGATATTTTCATGTTTAGGATCTTCTTCCTCTCTTTCTTCTTTCTGCAACAACAACAACAATATCATCAACAATATCATCAACAAGAACAACAGACATTCAGTAGCAAACAGATGCACCGTGATGACAAGAAATATGGATGTCATTAGTTCTATGAATAGTGTGATTCCATATGGAAGTATCCTAGATGGTGTTGATAGGCCACATGTCACTATACATATATATTAGGGCTGCAACGAATACACTATGAGGCGAATGCGATTCGTATCACGAATATAGAGTAACAAATACGGATATTAATTCACGAATACAATAACAGGTCAGCAGTTGATGTATTATTTGTTATATTCAGTGAAACAAAAGCAACACAAATTATTTGACATGGTTTGTTAATTATTAACATATTATACATTTATATACTGCACTTATCCAGGTACTAGAATCTGCTCAAATGCAACAATGACCAGTGACCACATTACTGTCAAATTAAGTGAGTGTTGTCTTTCACGAATTCTATGCATATGATATGTTCTTCTGGATATTTTTAGATACAGGGTATGTAAATGAACATGACTGCATAATCATGAATATTCGATGTGCTGATAAAACAGTAACCACTAGATTCAGGATAGTGTAAATATTACCCACCTCCTCCTTCTGCTGTTTGAGGAATTCCTGTTCATACACGTCGCCAAGACTCTGCTTGCTCTTCTCCTGGTCCAAGACTATCCTCTTCTTGTACTCAAACACATCCCCCTTAGGCTTCACCTTCCTCTCCACATCGTCCCACGCCTGCAACAACAACATAAACACACCTGGAGTACACAGCATTGTCACATCCACACTCACACACACCTGGAGGGTACCAGGGTACACAGCATTGTCACATCCACATGAACACACACCTGGAGGGTACCGGGTACACAGCATTGTCACATTCACACTGACACACACCTGGAGTACACAGCATTGTCACATCCACACTAACACACACCTAGAGGGTACCGGGTACACAGCATTGTCACATCCACACTGACACACACCTGGAGGGTACCAGGGTACACAGCATTGTCACATCCACACTAACACACACCTGGAGGGTACCAGGGTACACAGCATTGTCACATCCACACTAACACACACCTGGAGGGTACCGGGGTACACAGCATTGTCACATCCACACGAACACACACCTGGAGGGTACCTGGGTACACAGCATTGTCACATCCACGCTAACACACACCTGGAGGGTACCGGGGTACACAGCATAGTCACATCCACACTAACACACACCTGGAGGGTACCGGGGTACACAGCATTGTCACATCCACACTAACACACACCTGGAGGGTACCGGGTACACAGCATTGTCACATCCACACTAACACACACCTGGAGGGTACCGGGGTACACAGCATTGTCACATCCACACTAACACACACCTGGAGGGTACCAGGGTACACAGCATTGCCACATCCACGCTAACACACACCTGGAGGGTACCAGGGTACACAGCATTGTCACATCCACACTAACACACACCTGGAGGGTACCAGGGTACACAGCATTGTCACATCCACACTAACACACACCTGGAGGGTACCGGGGTACACAGCATTGTCACATCCACACTAACACACACCTAGAGGGTACCAGGGTACACAGCATTGTCACATCCACACTAACACACACCTGGAGGGTACCAGGGTACACAGCATTGTCACATCCACACAAAATGTCATATTTGGGGTTACACTTTCTTTTAGCAAAGTACGAATTCTTGTACTTTTTGGGTTGAGGTCTATATGGGATTGAATCCACTCTCTCAGAGTATGGCACCAAATCGCCAGCACACAAAGTCAGCGATCTAACCCACTCAGCCACCGAGGCTTCCACAAAAATGGAAGTCTGACGACTGGTAGACTGGATCATGTACTTTGTGTACCCCTCTGACCAGTGACAATTATGGGTTACCAGGAGCCTCTTCTGGCCTCACTGTCAACACCTGTTACTGTTCAGACTCAGACCTCACCTTGTCCTTAATCCTCTGCCGTACAATGTCCTCAATAGTCTTGGTTGTCTCCTCAGTCACAACAGGGGCTGTCAAACACAGAAATGCAACTAAATATACATACATCCCTCTCATAAAATGCATGGCTTACTCGAAACAGCTTGATGTTGGATGACAACATTGAGAAAAGTACTTTCAGCCTTACAAAACAGTCATATTTTCATTCCAAAATCATATCACATATATATAAAACAGAAATTGAAACTTCAGATACCAGACTAAAGTCACTTTTTTCCCTTTATTTCCGAGTCGCCAGATGATTATGATCTTTCTCGCACTATCTCTTCATAGTTTGAGAGAGTAAGTGAGAGAGTATGGTTTTACGCCGCTTTTAGCAATATTCCAGCAAAATTGCAGCGGGGGACACCAGAAATGGGCTTCACACATTGTACCCATGTCGGGAATCGAACCCGGGTCTTCAGCGTGACGAGCGAACGTTTTAACCTGTCTGTTACCCGACCGCTCTCTTCATAGTATTTACCATGTAGTGATTCAGTAATCATAAATATAGTTTCAATAAAGAAAGGTCATAACTTTTGCTTTTTCTCCTTATAATTCCTTGAAAACTGATCGGTCAGTTCAATTAAATCATGCAATAATTACAAATAAACAAAGATATGTGTATGTGGATTTCATAAAAGAAATATCCTCCTTTGTCAGATCAAAGGCACATATTTCGGAAAAAAAGTGAGGTGAGGTAATGTGGTTTAATGTCACGTCCAAGATTATTACACTGTGTGTGGCTGCCTGTACTAGTCCGGACTGATGCCGATTTATAGTGAGATATCATGCTGCAGTTTAACATCAATAACTCACTCAGACACAGTATAGTGACTCCGAGCCGACCATGTTTTAGCCCCTTAATCCCGAGTGCCAGATATGGTAACACCAAGTACCATCTTTTACCATCTTTCGGTATGACTCGGCCGGGAACCCCAGACCTTCTACTCTCCGGGGGACGCTCTACCATTAGATCACGGAGGTGGTCCAGAAAACAAGTGTCATCCATACCAAAGATGACATGATATATTTCCATTATGACCTCTATACACATGATGTAAAATTCTCACCACAAACACATGGAAAACGCAAGCAAATTCTTATACAGCTGTTATTCGGCTTCAGATGTTTACATGGCTGAAAAGGTAGACGTTTAGCGCCTCTTCCTTAACATCAACCACCCATGTCTTGTCAGGAAATATGTTGGCCATAAAGTATCTATTTTGTATTTCCTTACTCTGTGATGAAAAGATTTTAAAACCAAAATCCCTGTACAAGTCTCACTTAGCAAAGGGAGACAACTCTCACCTGCCCGTGTTGTCACATCAAACTGCAGATGCTCCTCCAGCAGGCTGTTTTCAGGGCGGGCAGGTCCGGCTACCTCCCCAGTCAGCTGCCATGTCTTGTCAGACAGACTTGCCTTTTCAAGCTGGTCGATACGCTTCCTCAACTACAGAACAGACACACCCTTGTTGATGTATGCAAGAGTTAGACCAGCACATGAATACACACAATTGTACAGAGTGAGTGAGTGAGTATGGTCTTACATGACTTTTAGCAATACTCCAGCAATATCATGGCGGGGGACAGCGGAAAATTGGCTTCACAAATTGTACCCATATGGGGAATTGAACCAGGGTCTTTGGTGTGACAAGCCAGAAACTAGTAACCACTAGGTCACCCCTCTTCCCTACAATTATACAGAGACTTGACACGTCCATGTTAACAGTGAATGAGCGAGTATGGTTTTACGCCGCTTTTAGCAATATTCCAGCAGTATCACAGCGGGGGACACCAGAAATGGGCTTCACACATTGTACCCATGTCAGGAATCGAACAATAGTCTTCGGCGTGACGATCGAACGCTTTAACCTCTAGGCTACCTGACCGCTCTCTTCATAGTATTAACCATGTAGTGATTCAGTAATCATAAATATAGTTTCAATAAAGAAAGGTCATAACTCTATCATGCTTTTTGCGTATTCTCCTTATAATGCCTTGAAAACTGATCAGTCAGTTCAAATAAATCATGCAATAATTACAAATTTGTAGAATTTTCCTATTCGGAATATGGTGGCAATGGACCAAGGGTACCCTCCATGTACACAATTTAGGTCCGTCAGCCGATTCCATTAGCTCAAAGATAACCTTACCAATATTAATGGATGTTAACATTCACTGCTCTTCAGAATAAACATGTCAAAGAGAATCTGACAAGAGTTTTATAAACCTGACTCACACATTGACTATTGACACTGATAAAAGGCTGTTAATCAGTATGAGTCAATGATATACAGAGTGTAAAAACACAACTGATTGACAGGATTGTTCCAAATAGTTAGAACCATTAGCCTGTGAACAGCATCCTCCCGAGGCAGGAGAGATAACTGACTTTAAAAGTCCAGTTTCCACCCTTGCCGAACTAGGCTGGTATTATGGAGTTACATTTTGGCTGGAATAACGAGTCTATGCATAGTCCAATCAAAATCTCGCAACAAAATCGAAATCCGGTTCGTAAACTGTCATGCAGATTTCAGTCGCTTGCAGGATTTGCAAAGCATGTGCACCGCCAACTCGTAAAGAGATATTTTCCAAACCTTTTCATGTTTTTAATCGAGGTGCTTGCGTGATTTGATGCACTTCGCGATGTAAGACCTGTTTTATCACAATATAGATCTTTATTATTGATCAGATCGTCTTGACTGGGCGCTGCCATTTTGTTTGAAACAAATGCAAGTGATGGAATCTGATTGGTCCATAGGAAGGGCTTAGGAGGCACATAACTCATAATAACCACTGGTGTCGCTACGATCGAGCCTAGAATTCCAGCCTAGTTCGGCAAGGGTCAAAACTGGAGTCAGTTAACTCTCTTGCCTCGGGAAGATGGTCAACAGTTAAACAAGGTGGTCTAATTAAACATACTTCTCAAAAGAAGTTAAAAAACCCTGATTCTTTCATATTACCATTGATTACAATAGTTACTCTGTCATGGCATTCCTTAACTTCTTTTGAGTAGTACATACTAGAAAGTGCACAGGTAAACATGTTGGGGCCCATTAAATATTTTCAATACTGCACACCTTACTTGTTATTCTTGATTCACTGAATGAAATATGCATATTAATTTTACTTAATTTAATGTTACTGCAGGATAAGAAAGCAGACTTGAAACGTCCAAAGGTGCTATTACAAGCCCTGGCAGGAACGCTCTGTACCTTCAGACATTTTTCTTTCCATGTCATATAATTACATCCATGGCAGGAAAACACTCTCACCAATTCTCTTTGTGTTTCGTATGACACAATAACTTTTGTCTTTGAGTACATATGAGTTATCGTATACCTTCCTAGCTATTCTTAAATCCTTGAATGAAATTCGCATCCTGATTTTTCAACGTGATGTCACTTTATGTACATATAGTAAATATTCAGTTTGGAAAGAAATATAGATTTGAATTTTGGTATAAAGTGGTTATTGTAGGCCATCATTGGGAATCAGCTTGGTTGACAAAGGAGGCATGTCCAAAACAAAACATCTCCCTTTATTAGCTAACGCCGATCTGTAAACAATCGAGTCTTGACCAGACAATCCAGTGATTGACATCATGAGCATCGATCCACGCAATTGGGACTGATGACATGCATCAACCAAGTCAGCAAGCCTGACCACCCGGTCCCGTTATTCGCCTCTTACGACAAGCATAGTCGCCTTTTACGGCAAGCAGGGGTTGCTCAAGACCTATTCTACCCCGGATCTTCACAGGTTGTTAGCTATAGAGCATAATGAGTCCCATATTTCATGTTAGATTAAAGGATGTCTACCTTCTCCTGCCTCTTTTCAAAGGTTGACAGAGACTCTGTTTTACTGACAGCCTTGACCTTGCTGTCGACGACTTCCTCCTTGTCGGATTCCATTTCCTCAGATGCGTCGTCTTCTTCTTCACTTTGAAGTCACAAGTAATGAGTTATTAGTCACATCCAGCGTACAATGGATACAGAAGCCAATGTGTACCAGGCATGTTGCCATGGTAACATGATTTAAGGCTCGCAAAAGGAGGATGTGCTTCAAATATGATCATCATGATAACTGTGAAGCATATAGCTTGAAATGGACCATGTTCACAAGGTGAAGTCAAGTTTGAAAGATTTTCAACCGAAATATACTTAAATTGAGTTTGTTTAATGCCACATTCAGCAATATTCCAGCAATGCGATGGCATCCAGTAAATACCTGTGCCTGCTATGTACCAAGTCCCCAAGCCTGACCACCTGATCCATTTTGTCGTCTCGTACAACAAACAAAGGTTGCTGGCGACCCATACTAACCTGAAACCCCACCCACAGGAGCAAAATTAAATAGAACAACGATGAACGAATGTAATTAACTGTAACTCTGTCAGTCACCTTTCCTTCTCATCGTGTGCAAACTTCACTTTTTTCTTTTTCTCTTTTTTTTCTGGTTCTTCATCAGGTGGGTCGAAGAAATCTTCATACCTCAGCTCTCCTCCCTGTTCGAACAGAACAGACATTAAGACAAGGCTGTTACAACATGTACTCAATATCAATGTTTGATACAAACCTTATAACAATTATTCTACCACAATTTGGAAAATAACCAATTTTGATTGGTCAATCAGAGGTATCAAATCACAATACCCCCTCAAACTGAAACAGCTGATTTGACGGCCGCATCACCATGGAAGCTGTCAGTAGGCATATATAAATAACTATATTTTACAGTTCCAGGCTACAAAAGGCAAAGGTGCTGTTACTACAATATTCAAAGGATGTGTGGCAAAACATTCAGTGCAGAAAGCACAGTACAGTAGAAATCTACAAAACCAATGTCTTTCAAGTGTTGAGGACAACAGAGAGCTTACTGTGTGGTGCTTTTCTAAATACGACTGTGACGACATACCTTTTGCATCACAATGTGCAATATGACGTCATAATAGTGAAGTATTTTGAATAAAACCTTGCAAGGCTTGCTTAGTTTTCTTTAGCATGCCATGCCCACTTCATGTTAGCTTACGAAGTTACCATGCTACATGCTTTCAGTGCCTGTCATAAGTTTAAGTGAAGTATTACAGTGTCAACAAAACTGCTTGAACATATGGAGCACCATATTTTGTTCAAAGGCTGTTGTCAGTGGTTCCCGTAAATTCTGATCAACAACCCACTCAAAACACTGGACGCAAACCATGCTACTTCACTCAATATATTTGCAAACACCAACATGACCAAAGAGTTCACGTTTTATTAGTTATGGTAGAATGGAGATAAACATACTGTGTTTTCAAAGTAGAGCGGGGTAACCTGTAGATTTAACCACGCTAAATTGAATTTGGAACCGAATGCGCAGCGTGAGGTCTCAAATGTTAAGTTTTCTAATTTTCCTTCTTCTGCAAGAACTAGGCATGTGAGGCACTAGGAAAAATAATTTGACATAAAATGAAATCGCAGTAATGTGTTTTTATTAATAAGTAATGTGATTTAATTAATAAGTAATGTGATTTAATTAATAAATTAAGCAAATTACATGTAAAAAGGTAATAAAATGGCTGATACATGAGAGGGATGCAGTTTAACACCAATTTGAACTGTACATCAAAATGGTGATTAAGTTGGGCACGGGAATATGTGGGCCTTAATGATGCTTTGAACAGTTTTTTACCTATATATCTTGCATTCTCTGTTTAATGTAGGAGGAAAGCACTGTATGGTGCAGACAACCAGGAAGATTTAAACCAACAATCATAGGATCCTGCACGTCTAAGGGATGCAACTCTGTGCAGTGACATGCCTTACATGACTTGGCTACCTGTTCTCCCTATTACACTTATAACTTCCTAAAATCATGGTGGCACCTTAACATGGAAGAAAAGTTCAAAGAAAAACAGATCATAGACATTTGACAATAACCAGGAGGTGAGGGAAATGGGGTTTAATGGTGCCTCGCATTCAAGATTCTAGCACTCATAGACATGTGTATACACAGTATACAGACTCCGAGCTCACCAGTCGAACAAATAACAACGACAGTACTGACAGTAACACTGATCCCAGTTAATCCTGTTGATTACTAACCCCATCCTCCTCCTCCGATGTAGGGATTTCAGCAAACATGTCAATATCATCGCCATCATCTTCTTCGTCATCACTCTCATCACCGTCATCACCTCCAGATTCCAATCGACGACGTTTCTCTTCCCTAGCATCCTCCTGCACTAAAAATGCCTCCATTTCAGATAATTTGAAAAATTTGTCATCTACCACACTTTTGTATTTTAACTTTTTTCGTTTCTTCTGTGTATTGTCCTCTTCAATGTCATCCTCCTCCTCCTCCTCTTCCTCTTCCTCCATAATCTCATCCTCCCCCATCTCAAGGTCACTTGACCCCACATCAAAGTCATCCGAGTCTTCCCCTCCTTCCAGACGGGTCTTGATACGTCGCAGCTCCTCGTCCTCAGCGTCTTCATCGCTGCTCGCTTCATCTTCATCTTCCTCCGCCAACACAACCTTTTCACCTTCTTCTCCTTCCCCCTTCTTCCATTTCTTCGGTGAAGGTTTGGCACCACCTCTACAACAAACACGTCAAAACTGCTTCAGGATAAGTTTGGTTCTATGATGTTCCATGCATCATTAGCATTTGGGTAAGAGGACAGAGAGAGAGAGAGTGAGAGAGAGATAGAGAAAGAGAGAGAGAGAGAGAGAGAACTCTAGCACAATGCAATTGTTTCATCCTTAACACATCTGAACTATTTATGTAAAGTAACAATGAACTTCCCTCCAGAATTCATCTTTCAACACGCAATTCAAACAGGTTACCTACCATGCATACAGAAGGTCGTTTCAACATTACGAATCACAACATAATATGGCATTATGGTCAACACATACGAGGGGAGGTGAAATGGGGTTTAACGTTGTGTTCAAGATTATTGCGCTTACAAAGTGATGTGTGGCTGTTTCTAAGAGTCGGGACTAATGCCGGTTTTATAGAGCTATCCCACTGAGATACCATGACGCAGTTATAAGATGGTTACCCTACTCAGACACAACTTCCCGAGACAAGGAAGTTAACTGACTTTAAAACTCCAGTTTCCACCCTTGCCGAACTAGGCTGGAACTACTGGGCACAATCGTTGCGCCACCAGTGGCTATTACCAATTATGTCCCTTCTAAGCCTCTCCTATGGACCAATCAGATTCTACCTCTCGTATCACTTGCGTTTGCTTCACACAAAAAGGTGGCGCCCAGTCAGGACGATCTGATAATCAAGATCTATATTGTGATAAAACGGGTCTTACATCGCAAAATGCATCAAATCACGTGAGCACCTTGATTAAAAACATGAAAGGATTTGGAAAATATCTACGGACAACGAATTGGCGATGCACATGCTTTGCAAATCCTGCAATCGAGCTAAATCTGCATGACAGTTTACAAACCGGATTTCGATTTCGGTGCGCAATTTTGATTGGACTATGCATAGAGTCGTTAGTCCAGACAAAACATAACTCCATGATACCAGCCTAGTTCGGCAAGGGTGGAAACTGGACTTTTATAGTCAGTTAACTCACTTGCCTCGGGAAGGTAACTCAGACACAGCATCATAGATATTTGACAATAACCAGGAAGTGAGGGAAATGGGGTTTAATGGTGCCTCGCATTCAAGATTATTGCACTTATAGACATGTGTATACACAGAATACAGACTCCGAGCTGACCAGTCCTTGTTTATTCCCTTAATGTTGAGTGTCAGGCAGGGTATCAACAAGTACCATCTTTTAACGTCTTTTTGTATGTCACAGCCAGGGATCGAAACGGACCCCTTCTTGGTGGACTCTCTTTCCACCAGAACACGGAGATTCACAGCCAATACATTATTTATGAGAACTATGATGCCACAGTTCCTGCTTCATGTGCTGTCATCAGAGAACAGGCTGAAGCATAATTCTTCATGGTCATCTTGGCCTGCAAACTTCATCACAACTTACTTAAAACTTATGTTTTTCTTGGTGAGAACTCCAGATACAGCAAACAGTAACTTCTTCACGCTGTGTGTGTTCTGTAATTCTATTTCCTGCCAGATCTGTTCTTCATCGAAGTCCTTAACAATCAGTCGAGGTAACGCTCCTTCACCAGAAGGAAATCCAGATTCCTGGGTCTTTGCAAAGTCATACACAGCTTTGGTGGCAGTCCTTAACTTCTTGCATAAAGATGGCTGTGTGCTAAAATGTAAGAAATTAAAAGTTAGCTTAAAAATTCATGCTGGCCTTGGTAATTACACAGTAGACTTTCAACATTTATTCCCATAGAATATTGCTTAACAAGACAACAACTAATGACTGTAATTATTATTTTTTATTTATTTAAGAAATAAATAACGAGTCGGTGTTGTTTATCATACAATAAAACACTGCAGGGAGAATAAACAACGAGGGGTGCAGCCCCGAGTGGTTTATTCTCACTGCATCATCCTATATAAGACGTCATCTAATCTCCAGAAATGACGTCATGTAGAGCAATGTTTCATCATGAAATAAACCACGCTTCATTCTTCGTTGTACTTTGCAATTTATCACATACGTACATTGCTCACAATCCGATATGTATCACAATATTTTTATGTACTGTTATCTGTGGTGCGTAAGCCATCTTTTTCAAAGACAAGATTACCAAATATCTGGCACACTGACAATTTACAGTTGGCAATGTCAATATGGCGCATAGAAAATATTTATGTTTTCACTACAAATTTTCACTACTATTTAGTGTTTGATGTAATGTTTATTATAGCAAACATTTAAGGTGAGTATGGATTGTCCAGTTCCCATACCATGGTATACAAACAAACACTATTCCAATTTCCATACAATTCAACAGAGACATAATCTGTGAATCTAACCAAACTAATATAATGTGAACATGCGAATCATATCCTGTTATTATAAAATTACTCAGCATTACAGCATGTTATTATCTTTTTTCTAACTTGTGACTCTTTTCACTGGATTCCAACACTCTTTTCTATAAGTGAGGTGAAATTGGGTTTAACGTCGCGTCCAAGATTATTGCACTTATATAGCGACGTGCATGCACGTGTATGTGTGTGTGTGGCTGCTTGTACTAGTCCGGACTGATGCCGATTTATAGTGCTAGCTCACTGAGATACCATGCCGCAGTTTTACATGAATACCCCACTCAGACACAGTATACTGACTCCGAGCCGACCAGTCCTTGTTTTAGCCCCTTAATGCCGAGCGCCAGACAGGGTAACAACAAGTACAATCTTTTAACGTCTTTTTGTATGACGCGGCCGGGGATCAAACCCCGGACCTTCCGCTCTCCGGGCGGACGCTCTACCACAAGACTCTTTTCTATAAACTCCTGTTGGATAACGTCAACGAAAATGACTACGTTTACAAGAATATATCTTAATTTAGTCTCTGGTTCAATACAGTAAAATACAGCATGAATATGGTTTGAAGCTGCCATTTTCGCCTGGTAACAAGGTAGTGTCAGCGTCGTTATAATAGCGTAAATAAATATAAATCACCATCGGCTGTAAGAAGGTTCTTAAACGTCATATTGGCCTGACTGGCACTGGTAATCTGCAACGGTGAGTTAACGTAAGATTGAAGTTAATAAACACGTGTTTGAGTATACGAGGGCACTCACGAAATTAGGAAACTCGACTGTCTAGCGAACGTTCAAGAACGGCATACGCCTTGATTTTTAAGACCAAAAGTGCGAAAATCTTAATACGTTACTGTCTCTCATCCATGGAAACAAACCTGAGAAATACTTCGGGTTTTTCCAGAAGGGTAGAAAAATCTTTCAGGTTTCGTCGCATGCTGCCCATGGTGGCAGCCATATTTGTTTTCAATGGTTATTTACAAAAGTAGGATTGCGTTCAGGACGAAATTGTATTGTGGTATACCCCATTAAATATGTGTTGCTGCTGATTTGGGCCCTTTGCCTTTGGAATCGAAGGCGCAAGCGCAAGAAATGTACTATGCTTTATATATACGATATCACTTTTACAGTGATGTATTACAGCATGAAAGTTTATTCATTTTGGCTTTTGCAAAGCAATAGAACGCCCATAAACTGCGAACCAAGCACAGAGCAAAGTTTCCATAAAGTCACATTATTATAATAAACGCAAATGCATCTTGCAGGGTGTAAAGTAATCTTCCTCCAAGACCATAGAAAATATTTCAAAATGTTAAAAATAATTCAACTCCAGTCTAGAATCGTTTGGCATGTCTAGACTGCCTCAGTTAATTTGTGGCATTGTTCAGGGCTCCATTTAAATTTTATTATTTGTTTTGTAGATAGATATGTTTAAATAAGATCATTTTATATCTGGGAATAAACGTCAGTCTAGATGTAGCTATATGTATTTACATATATATTCCAGCTATATGACGGCGGTCTGTAAATATTCGAGTCTGGACCAGACAATCCAGTGATTAATATAATGAGCATCGATCCACGCAATTGGGATCGATGATATGCATCAACCAAGTCAGCGAGCCTGACCCCCCGATCCCGTTAGTCGTATCCAATTTGCGTGGATCATGCTCATGATGTCAATCACTGGATTGTCTGGTCCAGACATTATTATTTACAGATCGCCGTCATATAGATGGAATGTTGCTGAGTGCGGCGTTAAACAAGAAAAGCTTTTTTATCATTACGTCATAATCCCATCACACAATGACCATGATGGCACGTGCGTTGTATTTATTCCCCTATAAATGAGAATAATAGTGAAGATACATACATAACGACGTACCTAACGTGAATATATCAACCCTAAAGCATACTGATGAAATACGATGTTGGGGGAACACATAGTATTGCGCCAAAACGCAGCCTAAAGGCGGAAGCGGTAGCGAGAACGGATTTTACGACTCCATACTAACTTTCTGTTTGTTCAAGCGATATGTACTGGTATTAGCTGTACGATGTTACGATTAATTTAATATTTAATCTGTTGGTATATGGTAAGTACATGATTTTACATGTTCACTATTTAAACTATTGCTAGATCTTTATCGTAACTTTCATTGGGACTCGGGGTTTCTTAACACAAGCCTACTATACATGATATATATAACCGGATCATGACGTTATACATGTGATGTTATTCCTAGTGTCTCGTAGGCCATACCTGTTCGGATGTAATATGTATTGTTTGTGTACGTGCTTTAGTATGAAGTGTATATAACATGTGACACTATAATAAACTCTCTCTCTCTCTCTCTCTCTCTCTCTCTCTCTCTCTCTATCATATGTATATATTAGTAACTGTGTTTAGTTTATGCATATTCCACATTAGTACTTTATTTAAAAAATAAACGACTTGTGGTTGTTTATTTCTTATATGAGATATCAACATTATTTACAGCCTCATTAAGAGTCAAGTCAATATATCAACGTTTCATATTTTAAAACTTTAGGGCATTCTAAATCACAAATGCTTGACCAAAATTAAATTTGAAAAAAGAGATATAGGGTAAAGTTGCAGAGTTGCGTCCCTTGGGCACGCCAGAAACTTATATGACTGGGTTCGAATCCCGGATCGCCCCAATTATGTTTATAGGTTTATCAGCACCATACCCGTGCTCGTGGTTTTCACCGAAGTGGTATATGTCTGAGACCTGCATCACTTCGGACTTTTCTCCCTCATAAAGCTGACATGCCGTGATATAACTGGAATACTGTTAAGAGCGGCGTTAAACCCAACTCACTCTCTCTAATACCATAATCAGCAACAGTAGTGTCCTCTCCCTTAGTGGTTGTACTGTCACTTACCTGTCAGGATAACCTCATTCACTGTACTCATCTGATTTCTAAACATCAACCATATTCCTAGAATATATGCCACCCTGTCTCCAAAATGCAGAATCACCAATCTGGGACAAACAACACAAAAGTTGCGTGGGCTATTTCCTTTTCCCATGTAGGTCCTACATGATATGGGATACTAATAGCATGTATAAGTTGTAGTGAGTGAGTGAGTGAGTTAGGTTTAACACCGCTTTTAACAATATTCCAGTTATATTGCGGCGTGTCAGCTTAATGTGGGAGGAAAGTGATGCAGGTCTCACCACTTCGGTGAAACCCACGAGCACGGGTATGGTGCTGACCAATCTCATTAAAATCAGATCTTAGTTCTCGGGGGCGGTCGGGTAGCCTAGTGGTTAAAGTGTTCGCTCGTCACGCCGAAGACCCGGGTTCGATTCCCGACATGGGTACAATGTGTGAAGCCCATTTCTGGTGTCCCCCGCTGTGATATTGCTGGAATATTGCTAAAAGCGGCGTAAAACCATACTCACTCACTCACTCTTAGTTCTCGCTATTGCTAAACAAAGATCTGAGGACATCCCATTACGGGCCTCGTCAGAACGACCTTTCATCCGACCAATCAAAGTGTCTCTTACCAGATCATGAAAGTGGCAGTCGGAATAAGTTTTCTAATCATGCAACCTCAAAAACGTTAACACCGTGTATTCTGAACGACAGTTATGGCCCGTACAACTGATTCTGTCAAAATTATCGTCCATCTCTCCCTTCAGAGGGATAAACATTTGAACGGCGGAGGCGTTGCACAGTACGTGAGAAGCACTGCCATACAATCTCAACCATATATTACACATTCCGGGATGTTTGTTTGTTCAGTTTTCAAAATTTTAATCAAGAACTGTGTCAACATATTTTTCAAGCATAGTCTGAAATTGAAGTCGCCAGGTTGAAACGAGTGCTGTAAAGCTGGAGAAAGCTGCTTTCAAATTGGCTGATGTCGACTTCTTGGTAGTTATTTCAGTTGTCGGTCAAAGTTCGAGAAAGGTCGTTCTGACATGACCCGTAATTGGATGTCCTCAGATCTTTGTTGAGCGGCAGCGAGAAATTAGATCTGATTTTAATGAGATTGGGTGCTGACAAACCTAGGAACATAATTGGGGTGAACCGGGATTCAAACCCACAATCATAGGTTTCTGGCGTGCACAAGGGATGCAACCCTGCACAGCGAATCGCGGTGCCTTAGATGACTGGGCCACCCGTGCCCCCCTGGATAAGTTATAAGGTGACTCCAGTTCGCTGAAATGCCCAGTGGCCGCAGTTGTGGTATCTGCATGCCTCTCCCTTGCATCGTGACTATTATAAGACATGGACTCCTAAGATATGGTCTTGCATCAATATTGATTGATTGATTGATGGAACAGGAGATTACCTATTTCTGACAACTGATTATTAGCCAATATGAATTAGGTGTCTGACTGACTGCAGAGGCTTGACTTGTTCTTGTATTAACACTGGGAAGTATGACTGGACTGCTTTGGTAGGTCCCTTATCTTACTGACATTTCATTTATTAATGTTATTTTTTAAGTGCTTCATTGGCAAATGCATTAACAGGCATCACAAAGAATGACTTTGAAGTTATAAAGTTATATTTTTTAGAAAAAAGGGTGAAGTTTGTCCAAGCCTTGATATGTGTAAACTGACAATCTTTACAATGCTCCAACTTGTTTTTACTGTTTTCACTGACAGATTAGGATGACGTCATAGGCCTAAAATGGACAGCAATAAAGGATCAAGTGTTGACCCAGATGAAATTGAAACTTCTTTTGATGGGGACAACACTACAGGTGCTAGACAAAGGGGTAGCACGGAGTACCCCAGCCTGCCAACCTCAGATCTGGAAAATGACGCTGTGCCCTTCTCGCCAGAAGTCAGCCCATTTGAGGGAGCCACAGCGCCACCATTACGTGATCTACCTGCTGAGTCATCCAGAACATATCAGAGACACGCAACAGGAAATGGTGCTCATCATGGCCACGGACATACCAGTGCTCCTTCCCATGGAGATAGCCGGTGTGCAGCTCAGCATCCTGGTCCACAACAAAGAGAAACATATCAACCAGCCCCACAACAAGAAGGTGCCTGTGCTAGACCCCCATCAACAACACCAGTTCAAGAAGAAACTAGGAAAGGTATGTCGTGAATGATATGACAAAGAGTAAATGTTTGTTTGTTTTTTGTTTTACGCCATGCTCAGCAATATTCCAGCTATATGACGGCGGTCTGTACATAATCATGTCTGGACCAGACAGTCCAGTGATTGACATGAGCATGGATCCACGCCATTGGGATCGATGACATGCATCAACCAAGTCAGCGAGCCTGACCACCCGATCCCGTTAGTCGCCCCTTACGACAAGCAAAGTCGTCCTTTACGGCAAGCATCAGTCCACGCAATTGGGATATGATGACATGGGTTGCTGAAGACCTATTCTATCCCGGATCTTCACTGAGGTAACATCATCACAACCAACCAACGATTGTAGATAACGGTACCAGAATGATACAAGCAATGGTCATGATATCATTTACTCTTTGCTATTGATGCGCTGTAGGTTCAATGAATATTATTGTACGTCCAAAGGGATGCAGAATATTCTTTTTCTGCGTCCATTCTCTACATTTGTGCGTACTGGACACACATTTGTGAGTCGCGTAAAACCCTTTGATGTCAAACACTGGATTGTCTGGTCGATAATTAACAGACCACTGTCATGTAGCTGGAATATTGTGTTAAACAACAAAGAAATAAACAAACAAACCTCAGTGGTTGGTTGATTGTGATGGTGTTGGTCCAGTGGTTGGTTGATTGTGGTGGTGTTGGTCCAATGGTTGGTTGATTGTGATGCTGATAGCCCAGTGGTTGGTTGATTGTGGTGGTGTTGGTCCAATGGTTGGTTGATTGTGATGCTGATAGCCCAGTGGTTGGCTGATTGTGGTGGTGTTAGCCCAGTGGTTGGTTGATTGTGGTGGTGTTGGTCCAGTGGTTGGTTGATTGTGGTGGTGTTGGTCCAGTGGTTGGTTGATTGTGGTGGTATTGGTTCAGTGGTTGGTTGATTTTGATGGTGTTGGTCCAGTGGCTGGTTGATCGTGGTGGTATTAGCCCCGTGGTTGGTTGGTTGGGATGGTGTTACCTCAATTATGAAAGGTCTGAGCTCATTAAGCAAAGACCCAGGTTCAATTCATCGTATGGTTACAGTTTGTGAAGACCATTCTACAGCATTGCTGCACTATTACTATAAAGGGTATTCAACCCCACTCACTCAGTGTGACTGTGGTAAACAACCAAATTCATGTATTATTGTATTAAAGTGTGGAGCTAAGTGATGTCTGGAATATTGATGACTATGGTCTACAACTGGATGAAACTGTAAGGGACAAAATCTGATTAGGATGTTTCTAGTGTCACAACGGTATCAGTTCTGATTTAACTGCACTGGTATTATTTACCATAATTGTTCATATCAGTAGCAAATTTCAGATATATTGATTTGATTGGCCCCATCCACATCTGTGACTTTTCCCCACAATATTGTATGTATTGTACATTTGCCAGATTCAGGGGATTCACTCATTGATCACATGTTGATAAGGTCACACTTCACTGTTCCACAATTACTTAAATTTGCATGTGTGAAACATCAAAGAACTAGCTTGATGGGATTTTCCAGCCACATTTGTGCCTGTTGCCATTTTTTTGCTGATTTTGAACTAATTATATTCTGAATAGGGCTGGGATGAGTCCATATTTACTACCCGGGTACCCACCCCACTATTACCCGACACTACCCGGGTACCTGCTGTAGGTCTCAAGAGATAGGTACAAAATGTCTTATTGGGTATATTTCGACTGTAGCCTCGGCAAAATGTATTTAGATACATGTATAAAAGGATCTGGTCATGCATTCTCTGAAGTTGCTTTATCATTTTCAAACATATAAAAGTCTGAAGGAATGTGTTCATGGTCGTTAAGAAATGCCCAGGTCCATCTCAGTACCCACCTGACCCGAGTACCCGAGTTACCCGTCTCAGCCCTAATTCTGAACCATGTATTTTATAAAGTAGTAATTAGTTTTCAAAGAACACATACAGGTAACTGAGGTTTTTCACATTGTTTCATTAGCATTCTTTAGAATGGAACGCAGGGTTATGGAATTAAAGAGGCAACTACATTATGAACACAGCACTCTTCTCAAACCTACTCAACCCCAAGGCACAGATTGTAATGTGGTTTAAGGAAGTCACTATCCACTCAGTGAAGAGTTACATCCCCTTTCTACCAGGATCCAGTGGTCATTGGTTTCAAAACGACTTGTCCAGGTAGTGATGAGGGGGCCGGTATTCAGGTACGAATGGATGATAATCTATGGACCTTGCTTGTACCTGACACTCATTCTTTGTTGGGGGCACGGGTGGCCCAGTCGTCTAAGGCGAGCGATTCGCTGTGCAGAGTTGTGTCCCTTGGGCACACCAGAAACCTACCCCGGGTATGATTGTGGGTACGAATCCCAGTTCACCGAGATTATGATTCTAGGTTTGTCAGCACCATACCCATGCTCATGGGTTTCACCGAAGTGGTAAACGTCTGAGACCTGCGTCACTTCGGGCTTTCCTCCCACATTAAGCTGACACGCCGCAGTATAACTGGAATGTTGTTAAAAGTAGCGTTAAGCCCAACTCACTCACCCACTCATTCCTTGTCATTTGGTATACCTGTTTCATACATGATTATGTGTGATATATATTGTCAGTGATTAATTAACCTGAGTATTTAAGGCCTCCGTGGTCCAATGAATAAAGTTTCTTTGCCGGAGAGAGGAAAATTAGTTGTGGTTATCCCTGGGCGTGTCTTACCAAAAGAAGTTAAAAAATGGTACTTGTTGTTACCCTGCCTTATGCTTGGCATCAATGGAATAACACAAGAACTGGTTGGCTTGGAGTCAGTACACTGTGTCTGAGTGTGGTTTCCATGTTAACTGTGGCATGGTGTCTTGATGGGCTAGCACTATAAAACCATCATTAGCTGGAACTAATACAAGCACAGGCATACTCCCACGCCCCATTCTCATGTTAATGTTAACCCTGTTTTGTCTGTAAATTTATTTAGTTTTGTTTCATCCACAGGGGACATAGCTGTGCCTGACCCATCAAGAGGGACTGTGACATATGATGCAGTGATTATCTCCCATGAGGACGATGCCGAGAAAGTCAACGAACTCAAGAGACACTTGAACAGTCTTATGTTGTTTGACGAAAAGTTGGCCTCTGTCGCCATCGAAGATGATGGACCTGACAGAGGGAAAGGAGAAGTCTCCTACTTCGAGGATTGGCTGAAGAAAGCGCAAATAATGTTTTTTTTTATGACCCAAAGATTTTGTGAAGAACGTTTTTGTTGCTTCAAAAAGGATGTTGCATTATCAGAATCGTTTTTTTATGAAGGTAGTAAAAAGGAATTTGTGATTCCTATTTTCTTGAGCAAAAAACATAAACTCCGGTTCTTAACGCCCTCAATACGAGCAATAAAGGGTATTGAGTATCTTGATTGCAATTGGACTGACAGTGTGGCTGAAAGATTCAAACAGAATTTGAACAGTGCTCGTCGTAAGAGACAAGAAGATTCAGTTGATGAAAAAATGTCAAATTTGACAATTAATTAGACACTACAGTAATAAGCAGAGCTCCAGATAAGCTTTTGGTGTTGTGGGTATTTTACCCATGCATTTTAAAATCATTGGGTATCAGTAATTCTATCTGGGTATTCAAATTTCTGTTACCCACTAGTTTTTACACATGTGGGTATTTAAGTTAAATATTTAAAAACACTATTCATCCAGTCCCTGCAAACTGGTGTTGTGTGGGTTTGAGAGCTTTATAGGACTCAAAAATACCACGATACTTCCACACGAAAGTGTGATGGCAAATGATCATGATGTGACTGTCATCGTGGAGTTTGGCAAGGTTGACGAAATGCCCGTTTATAATTTCAAAATAAGTTGCTGATTTGCTAATCGAATACGCAGGGTTACTTCACAATATTTTGATGATACGCACAAATATTATTTTTGTAGCGTATCTGTAATGTTCGTTGCGTATTTGATACGCTTGGATTATATTTTACTGCATATTTCTGCATTTCTGATGCGTATTTCACGCAGATACGCAGCTTATCTGGAGCTCTGAATAAGTCCATAACCATAAGACTGATAATGAAGCAAATCTTAGATACCATATTTGTCATGTTAAGTGCTCCTGACCAACTTCAAAACGAATCTGTAGGTATTCTTTATAAAAGGCCCATAATTTCTTGTATCTCTTACAGACTGTTTTAACAGGCAGCAAAGCAATGTAGAAAGAGTATGTTATTTTTGCCTACTAGCTGTTATCAAAAAAATTTCATTGACATTTAAACTAAGTTTGTTCTCAGCTGCTCGACCTCTCACAACATAATTAACATGTTGTACATGGTTTTAATAAGAGCCCTCTGTGTCAATTTTTTATACACCAAGGGCACTTTTTACTGCGAATATGGTATTCATTTATTTAAAAAGAGTGTGTCTTTGTTTTCTCAGAATGTTCTATTATGTTGTCCTGGTAGGAAGAGTTAATGGATAACACACAAGAAGCAGTCAGTGATATGTTCACCACAAACTGAAATCATAGTTTTACATGAAGCGAAGTCATCTGTGTTGGTTACCTGTGGATGATCTAGTGGATAGAGTACTGTACAGTGATTGGAAGGTCGGTGCTTCGATCCCCAGCCATGTGACACCAAAAGATGTTAAAAGGAGATACTTGTTGTTACCCTGCCTGGCGATAAAACAAGAACTGGTCGGCCCGAAGTCAGTATACTGTGTCAAGAGGGGGTATCTATGTTACACTGTGACATGGTATTTCAGTGGGCTACCACTATTAAACTTGCATTCCAGACTAGTACAAGCAGCCACGCACACATGCACACACACTTTTCATTTCACTCCATTTCACCTCACCTCATTTGTGTCAGCCTATGTCTCCCACAATGCTCCACAATCTGGAAGCCATTATGGCGTTGATATCAGGACTTTTGAAAAACTGAGGCAATGTATTGCTGTTAACTTGAGTATTCATTATGATTGACAAACATCATGACATTTTACTTTCCAGCCAAACTATGTCGGTTGTTAAAGACTTGAATCCAACTTGCTGTGACTGTATAAGGCCTTATATATTTCTTAGTTGGTTTATGAAACGACTGAAATTAGAAGGGGTTTTACATTTACGTAATGGTCAGAAATGGTGAATAATATGTATAATTCTGTATTTTTAAAAAAAAACAACATCATTTTTCATTCGGTATCTTACCATATTAAACATTTATAAACTTCTTCTTTCATTCATTATTAGCAGGACTAACCTGGAAGTTGAATTCTTTTCATTTTATTTTTTCGACCACCTACATGTACATTGAATTTTAGGCCACAAATTTTGTAAACCAACTTATAAAAAATGAATAGGCCTAAGTAAGTGGCTATGTTATGTTCAGTCTTTCATCCTTTTTTTGTGGGCCCACTGCAGGCAGTTAACTGTAGACAGTGTAGGTACAAGGTGGCTATCACTACCAGACAATGCCATGCAGGTGATAATACCAACAAACAAGGGATAGAACAGGTCTTCAGCAACCCATGCCTGCCGTAAAAGGCGACTATGCTTGTCGTACGAGGCGACTAAAGGGATCGGGTGGTCAGGCTCGCTGACTTGGTTGATGCATGTCATCGTATCCCAATTGCATGGATCGATGCTCATGATGTCAATCTCTGGATTGTCTGGTCCAGACCCGATTATTTACAGACCGCCATCACATAGCTTGATTATTGCTGAGTGCGGCGTTAAACAACAAACAAACAAAACAAAAGGCAAGAAACAAATAATCAGTTTGTTGTGTCTTTACTGTTATTCCTCATGTTTTTAGCTTGGATGAAATAGGTGGGTGAGGTGAAATGGTGTTTAATGTCGTGTTCAAGATTATTGCACTGATATAAAGACGTGCATGCACTTGAGTGTGTGTGGCTGCTTGTACTAGTCCGGACTGATGCCGATTTATAGTGCTAGCCCACTGAGATACCATGCCGCAGCTTAACCAGAATACCCCACTCAGACACAGTATACTGACTCCAAGCCGACCAGTCCTTGTTTAATCCCCTTAATGCCGAGCACCAGGCAGGGTAACAACAAGTCTTTTGGCATGACGCGGCCGGGGATCAAACCCCGGACCTTTCGCTCTCCTGGCAGACGCTCTACCACTGGACCAGAGAGGCAGTCCTTGGATGAAATAATTCTACCTGGTGATACACTTCCCTCCTGACAACTGTGTATTTAGCTTTGTTATGGGCATGGATCCCAAACTCCATTTGAATTTGCAAGTACGAATGTCGAAGATAATGTTTCATTGGTAATGATCTTGTGTTGAAATTGTCAATTTCATGTCTCATCTCTGGAAGTTTGTTATGTAGAGTGATAAGCTTATGAACTTGTATTAGATTTAATTTGAGTCATGTGACTTTAACGAAAGAGGCCCTATATGGGTGGATCTCTATAATCAACATCACAACCTCATCTTGTGATTATATTTCTGTGATTTCAGGGTTGCTAAGTATGACAGTGCTTTAAGGTTTTGGGTAAGCGTTTCGGAATATGTGAGGCCCCTTACAGGTGTTTTAAGCATATATGTTTAGACTTGTTTTGTTGAGATTTTATTTTAACAAAGTTTTGCTTGGTTGTGCAATCATGGGGCACTTGCTTCAGACTTTCTTCCTACAATTTTCCAAACCAGTTTCAAATGGATGATCCAGCTGAGCACAGCCTCATGGTAAAGCCAGTTTCTTAACAAAGAAAGGAGATATTCAGCTTAATGTTTAGCTTATCTTGCCCCATCTTCCCGACGCAAGAGAGTTAACTGACATTCTACCATGAATTTGGAATTTATTCGATTCTGATTGGTCAATCAGAGGCTATTAAATCACAATAAACCCCCTCTGATTGAAACTGCTGGTTTGAAGGCCGCATCACCGCGGAAGCTAATATTCATAGAATAGTACTATTTTCAGTCATTGTCGGTAGGCATATTTAAAAAATTATATCTACAATTACAGGTTACAAAATGCACAGATGCGGTTACTACAATATTCAAAGGATGTGTGGCAATACATTTCGTGCGGAAAAACATGACAGAAATCAAAAAGGGAATGTATTTACGTTTTGGAGACAACAGAGAGCTTGGAATTTTGGCGCTTTTCTATATGTCATAATGGTGACGTGAGATGTAGAGCGAAAGCCTTGCAAAGCTTGCTTTGTTTTCTTTAGGGATGCCACCTCATGTTAGCTTACCAAGTTGCCGTGCTTATATGCTTTCAATGCCTGTCATATGTTCGAGTGAAGTATAACAGTGTAAACAAACTGCTTGAGTATATACAGCACCATATTTTGTTCGGTGATTCCGTAATTCAGATCAATAACCCACTGAAAACACTGAACTCAACACATGTCATAGACTTGTTAGTACAGCCAAAACATAACTCCATATTACCAGTCTAGTTGGGCAAGGGTGGAAACTGGACTTTTATAGTTAGTTAACTCCCTTGCCTCGGGAAGATGATCTTGCCCTGGATGAGCTTGTGTCTTTGGGAGATTTTTGTCATGGTCATTATTTTGTTGACTTCTAGTGCAAAACTGATTCAGCTGGAACTGTCTGTAGGTGTTCAAAGTTACTTCATAAACATTGCAGTTAAAGAATTCTTTCTTAGCCAGATAACGTCTATTCTACGGTGGCCCATAAGGGAAATTGAGTCTGTTTTTCAATATTTTGATATTTCACTTACTGTTATCGTAACCTTTTGCAAATTACATGGTTTGTCATGTGATAAATCATGTATAAAGAATATATTGAATCGCTGAAAAGTGAAGCGAAAATGTCAAAAACAAAAACGAAATGGTCAAAAACTAAAATGAAAATGTCAAAAACAAAACCGAAACAGTCAAAAACAAATGCGAAAATGTCAAAAACTAAAATGAAAATACAGAAAACTATTTCCACCGTGCCACCGTACTATTCACATGTTCGTGTTTTGTGCTGTACATTCTAACTGACATGAAGTATCAGCCATTGTAAATTATCATGATTATTGTAAAAAAATGATATTTGTCTTTGAAGATCATTCAGACTTGCTCAATGTTTTGTATGTATCAGCATTACATCACATAACTTGATGACATATAACCACTCTAACATCACTCCTGGGGAGTGTTCAGTTATCTTAACGTAAACCTATCTACCTTCTTGTAGCTATCATGTTTCCCAGGCCTTTGTTGTTGTACTGCTTGCTTCCTTTCCAAAACTAGTTTTGATGTGAGAAATGAAAATTATCAATACAATTGAAATACCCGTATTAGTATTAAGTGATCTCTACAAATATCTTCAGTTGTATGAAGTGAAAGAAATGGGTATTCTTGTAATCAAGTCAAACTGATGAATTTTTGTTTTGTTTGTCCACTACTCATGGTAGTAAACACACTTCTTGAGTGATTGTTCGCAAACTTCTCAATTTGGTGGATCTGTAAACCAAGGACGTAATTCTTTTATTCCTAATAACAGCGACATTTCCATAATCATAAGAAACCTCTGCAAAGTGCACATTCTATTGTACAATTTGGACTTTAGCATTAATCACTCTCAATTAGTACTGATACCAGGTGTGTGTGAAGAGGTGAAGAGGTGAGCGTATCCTGCCCCACCTGTGTGCCTGCCTCCATGTAGTTTTATTTTGTTACACTTTACACAATGTAGGTGCAATCTAATAGATATAGTAGACTTTAATTTGGGAATGTGCAGTTCAGGGGTACACAAGAGAGGTGTAGTGTTATTAGTCGAAGACCGCCTCCGTGGTCTAATGGTAGAGCGTCCGCCCGGAGAGCGGAAGGTCCAGGGTTTGATCCCCGCCGCGTCATACCAAAAGACGTTAAAAGATGGTACTTGTTGTTAACCTCTCTGGCGCTCGACATTAAGGGGCTAAACAAGGACTGGTCGGCTCGATTCCCGACATTGGTACAATGTGTGAAGCCCATTTCTGGTGTCCCCCGCCGTGATATTGCTGGAATATTGCTAAAAGCGGCGTAAACGCATACTCACTCACTTAAGCTTCACCCCTGAGTTTTGTCTTGCGTCGTCCACCTGAACTACCAACCGAGGGCAAAACACACCCTTGGAAACTACCGACACAGTCTTCTGGACACTGTCCAGTGACTGACAGGATGACAGTTGCAGCTGATGACGTCACCTTGATGATAATATCCCTCAGATGTAGCGTTTTCCTGGGTGTAGGTGACACGATGTCTGCCACTCCTAGGACACTGTCCAGTGACAGAATGACAGTTGCAGCTGATGACGTCACCTTGATGATAATATTCCTCAGATGTTGCGTTTTCCTGGGTGTAGGTGACACGATGTCTGCCACTCCTAGGTCCTGTCCAGTGTGCCTCTAACGACCATGAGCGCAGCTACAGCCAAAACTCCTGGCGACATGGTCATGCGTTGCTCCTTGATGTATCAATGGCTTGTTCTTTCATTTGTACTGTATCTCAGCATGATATGTGTCACTATCTAACGGTTTTGGTGTGAATGAACAGTACATCGTTCCTTATATATCCGTAACTTTTTCAGTTGGCATGCTGCAAGTGAAGAAAAAATTTCACTTCAAACTCAAGTTCCACTAATCTGGGTATTATAGCACGTGCATTACTCACCAAACTGTTTTGGTTGTGTTTGGGCGATCTATAAAGTTATTATGTTTCAGTGAACATAGGTTCAATTTGAAATGTGCCGTAAAAAGAAATTTCAGCTCTTTTAAAAAGAAAAAAATCTCAGCCCCTAAAAATGAATGGGACTCTACAACAAGAACTACTTGCTATGAACACGAATCTATTACCTAAACAAACGTGTCTTAAGAAATATGTACAGGATAAAATAGATTGTATATCTTGGGCTATATACATAAGAAAAATATTTTCAAATACCCGTGAAGATCCGGGGTAGAATAGGTCTTCAGCAACCCATGCTTTCCTTAAAGGCGACTAACGGGATCGAGTGGTCAGGCTAGCTGACTTGGTTGATGTATGTCATCAATGCCAATTGCGTGGATCGATGTTCGTGATGTCAATCACTGGATTTTCTGGTCCAGACACGATTATTTAGGATGGGGTTCATAGTAGGAGTGGGATCAACCTACTCGTTAATCTCTCATGTATGCAATCCCCCACCTACTACCGGTATATATATTTTGTACCATGTTCATTATTTAGCCTTGATCGACAACGGTCTAAGAATCTACCGAAACGTCGCCTTTACAGTAAATAAAGAAGTTGTTATCTATAAATTGTGTCAACTTTGTCATCTGTCAACTTCTAAGTATACTTGGTATAAGCGTCAGATAAAATAAGGGCCACGGCTAAGCCCAGTATAACCGAGGAAGATATCTGCCGAAACCATAAATCAGTACTATCAACTTTTGACTTGACTTCCAAAGCCCCGTAAATTCTGCACAAAGAGAGGTATGTTGCTGGGTCCAGCAAATATACAGAGTAAAATATACCACCAAATCCCCGTTTCAAAGATTGACCATAATCCTGAATACAATCAAGGAAGGTCTTCATTGCCCATAACGGTATGCCAATGCACACTGTTTCAGAATAATGTTGCAAATAAAAGCGACAAAACAATTTTCATAATCATAAGCAATCTCAAGCAATTAGTGATGATATCATGTGTTCGCGAAAAGGTTACCCCCACAAACACATGCAAAGGCATGTCAGTTCTTCATCTGAACTGATGACGTCTCCTTATGCGTCATATTGAAAACTTTTTGAAAGCCTTACTGAGGCATTGAATGTTGAAATCCTGATCAAAGAACGTTTGAGCAAGAGTTGTATGACGCACTTTGAAATCTTCATAGAAGGAGCATTCTCGATTGACCTTTGTACAATGTTTTTTAACAACACACCTTTTCGATAAATACAGTTTATGTTGCAATAATATAGTAAAATGTTTCGACATTTAGTAAAAGAAAAAAATGAGAAATACATGTAATGAACATATGTAGGTTAAGTTGGGTGTAATATTTATTAATTCTGAACGAAAGCACTTGTTTTGCTTTGGTTTTTCTTTTGCTACTCTTAGTCAACTACAGCGCCGCAATCCCAAGTTATAGCACCGACCGGGGCTACGGATGGCCCAGTCGTCTAAGGCGCTGCGATTCGCTGTGCAGAGTTGCGTCCCTTGGCCACGCCAGAAACCCATGATTGTGGGTTCGAATCGCGGTTCACCCCGATTATCTCAGCGAATCGCGGCGCCTTAGACATTTTAGAAGGGAGTTTAAACAAGTAAAGTAAGTGCTGTCAATACGAGGCAGTTTTGACAGTGATTGTGGTGGTCTCAGACTGCGTGGGGAGGGGGGGGGGTAGCCTAGTGGTTAAATCGTTCGCTCGCCACGCCGAAGGCCCGGGTTCGATTCTCCACATAGGCACAATGTGTGAAGCCTATTTCTGGTGTCCCCCACCGTGTATTGGTGGAATTTTGCTAAAAGCGGCGTAAAACCCTACTCACTCACTTTCAGACAGAGGCCTTCAAGTTGCCACCTTGCCATTCATGTTACTACCATTATGTAGGTGTACTGAACATTACGAAATAAAAGTGTAATGGACCCATATATGGGCTACTGTATTTGAAGAGCAGGTATCACGTATTTAACCTCGGGGTACAATTTTGGGTGAAACTGGCTGCCATACATGTTTATCCTCAAAGGTTTGAGGTTTATGATATTATGCATGGATGCCAGGCGCTCTCACCGCCAGTGATTTAGTTTACTCAGAAGCTTAGATGATTAATGTGAGCAGGACTTACATATTTGTTGTACAGTCAAGTCCCGTTAATCCGACATGATTGGTTGCATATGATTATGTCGGATTAACGAATATGTCGAATAAACGAAATTAAGTAGTTTCAACTTTTGTGACCGAAAATAGGACAACTACACGATAAATACCAATTCAAACACGTTGTAACAAAAAAAATGAAATATTCACATTATGTTACATTGTTAGCGGAATATGTTTTCAAATCATGCAACGTCTAACGCTTAAAACAAAACTTCTGTTATGAGCTGTATGACAATTCAAAATACGTTAAAAGCATAGTCTGGAATGGAAGTCCCCAGTTTGAAACTAATGCCGCAAAGCTCAAGAAAGCTGCCTTCTTAGTGGCTAATGTCGACTTCCTGTTAGTCATTTCATTGGTCGGTCAAAGTTCGCGAAAATGTAATCGGATGTCCTCGGCGGTAGCGAGAATTTGTATCTGATTTTAATGGGATTGAGGTAATCTAAGCATGTGATTAATCCTGTTTTGTTCATTTAAAGCATTAATTGTTTATTGTTAAGCAAGTTTATCTCTACAGCCATTGTATGTATTTGGTTTTCCTACGTTTCGCTTTCCCGGGGTGATAGAGATATGCATGTAAGCATGCATGCTTTTTGTGTGAAAGGTTGAAATATAATTATGATTATATATCGTATCAAAACAGACGTGGTATCAGCATATTTCAATATTGCCATTTTCATCACTTTGTTCCTGTCCTCTACTAGAGCCTCAAGAGTTACCTTTTAAATGTCTACGATAAGCCACCAGTACGGGAAATATATATCTTGCGCCCAGTAAATATATCTTGTTGATTCAATAGTGTTATTCATGTATGTTTTCTTTATGAACAGACACGCAAACTTATGAATGTAATTAAACATGTCACAACGTGGTTGTTACCAAGTCTTTCAAAATTAGTCTTTCCCCACATACATATCATGTTATAACCAGCGTTCGAAATACCTGCCTGCCCGACCGTCCGAGACGGGTTGATTTCAACTCGGGCTGAGAGATTTTCAAATCCCCCTGCCCGACGGTCGGGTTATATTTCATAGGTGAAAATATTCTAAATATTTCCCGATGATAAGCATTAATTCACATGTAAAGATGAATGATAAAATGTAACCAAACAGAAACCCCGTTAGCTTTTAGACAACCTAACCTTTAGCGATGCGCTTATGCTACAAGCAATCAGTTTTCATATTTTTAATTAAATTATCCTGAGAAACATATGATTATAGTGGGCAGGCAGGTTTTGGTCAGGGCTGGCAAGTATTTCAGCTAGCCAGTCCTGTGGGAGTTTTGGGAGTTTCATACCCTGTTATAACTATTGTGTAGTAAACGTCACAGAAAACAAAACTCCACTTTTAAAAGAAACATATTTCATTCTTTATTCATGTACCAGAAGCAACCTGACATACATTTATACCAGGACAGGTGACACATTGGTAAACGATTAATTATTCTAGATGATGACATGCGTAGTGAAAACATTTTTTCTAAACAGTCACTCGACGACGTGCAAAGGACATTCCATTTGGAAGGTAGGTCGGCATACCGCTTGTGTGGCTGCCGGCACAGCATGTTTGGCCTTCCACTGAGATCACTACCAGTGATCACTACCGATCACCACAAACCAGGGGGTCTTGATGTCGAACACAAACTGTGTCAAGAAGTGATCATAACATTACAAACTATCAAACCAAAATCTGATGATATAAATACTCAATAACAAAAGTTCCTGTGACACCAATATTTTAGTATATTTTTCAAACAAGTAAAGTTTGGTTTTTAATATTGTAGTACATGTATGGAATCAAGTCACAAAAACGCAACTGCTACAAAAAAGCATGCATTCCATGCAAAAGTTGACTTTTATGCAAGCCCCATGCATTTCACTACCGAAGAATGGGTATAAAAAACATATGCGTTAACGGGATTCCATATGCATTGTTTGGCATCGTGCTGACAACAACCACTCAGAAACACAACAAAATTACGCAATTATTCAACATTACGAAATGCCACGCCTGTCGGAAAATGAGCGTCTGCGAGCGATTGGTATGCTTGAAGCAGGATCAAGTCAACGTGATCTTGCAAGACAATTTAACGTCCATAGAAACACCATTTGGTGTTTATGGCAACGTTGGCAACAGACGAATGCAGTCAGAGACCATCCTCGGAGTAGCAGGCCACGCGTAACCAATAATCGACACGACAACTGGATTCGAACAACACACCTACGAAATCGATTCCAGCCAGCAACAGTGACTGCAAGAAGCATTCCAGGCCTTCGACGAATATCTTCACAAACAAACCGTACGTCGTCGCCTCAGATGTGCAGGGATTGTCGCCAGAAGACCCACCAGACGTCCCATTTTGACAGGAAACCACCGTCAAGCACGTCTACTGTGGTGCAGACAGCGTCTACGCAGGACGGCCATTCAGTGGGGGCAAGTTCTATTCACTGACGAGTCTCGTTTTCACCCCAGCCACAGCGATGGACGGATTCGAGTGTGCCGACGTCGAGGTGAACGTTACGTCAGTCATTGTGTCATGGAAGAAAATCTTTTCGGGGACGGCAGCGTTATGGTATGGGGTGGGATTACAGCATGACAGAGGACCTGTTTGATAGTGGTAGAGGGAAATCTCAATGGACAGCGCTACCGCGACGAGATCATCGGCCCTGTTGTTCTACCGTTTTTGCGTCGTCATGGCCCAGACATTACAACGCCCGGCCTCATATTGCTCGACATATTGCTCAGGATTCCCTTCAACAAAACAACGTGAATGTCATCACCTGACCGGCTCGCTCCCCTGATCTCTCACCAATCGAGCACATGTGGGATGAGATGTATCGGCGCCTTCGACGTCAACCACATGTTCCACAGACACTCCAGGAACTTCGAAACATGCTCCAGCAGATATGGATAGATATCCCACAGGACTTTGTGCGACGCCTGGTCCATTCCATGAGACGAAGATGTGTTGCTTGCATCGCAACCAGAGGTGGACACACACGCTATTGATTTGTAAATTGACATTTTGGCATGTTCATGTTTATTTTATGAAATCACGCATTTTCTGAAATCAGTATGGCAAATTAAACCATTTGAACACTTACAGGAGTCGTTTATCTGTTGCAAACCGAAATTGTTTCAGATTTGGTAAAAAAACTTGGCATTAAATCTTATTCAATGTCACAGGAACTTTTGTGGTAGAGTATATATAGACATTAAAGACGAAAAAGAAGAAATACAAATGTACCTTGATATAAATACATAGCATAGTTCAGGTGATACAGGTGTAGGTATTAACACGCACGTGAACACATGCTGTCTTTTTCTCTCTCTCTCCCTCGCTCTCTCTCGACATACGTATAGCAACATTAAGGGCGAATAAAAATATATACAAATGCAAATGTACTTTTACACATTACATAGTTATAGATACAGGAGTTGTTATGTCACGCAGACGTACATTCTCTCAGCTCTATTTTGAAAACATATATACAGCACACTACGGTTAAAACGAACACGCTTATAACGAACTGACGGGTATAACAAATATGTTTTTTGGTCCTGGCCATTGCTGTATATGCTTATAACGAACTACGGTTATAACGAACTAAATTTAGCAGTCCCTTTGAGTTCGTTTTAACCGTAGGTTACTGTATATCTTCTAATTCACTCAACAACAGGGATCATTGTAAGATACTCGGCAGTAAAACCGCCAAAGTACAAGCTACAGTTGCAATGAAGAATAAGACAAGGAACAATCTGTCCATCACGACTGCCACCTTCTTCCACTCCTCATCAATGACCTCGGCTTCTTGTTTGTCGATGTCCCGCTTGTTGATCTCCTTGAGAACTGACAGCTGTTCTTGCATCACTTTTTCCAAGGGCAGTAAATGATGTTGGTCGGACACAGCAGTTTTGAGAGATTCGAAATTAGCCACTCCCTTTTGTTTTAACGTGTTGAAATGGTTCTGAAACAATGGAAAGTGTATGTTAACCTTTACACGTCCATCTACAGTGTAATCTACTGGGCCAAAGAGAGCATACACTTTAAAAAATTGGAAGTGACCAAAACATTACATCAAAACGTTACTGGGCTCAAAACAGTCGCCGAAACACTGCAAACTTCAGGTTTAAAACATAACTATGAGACTCGCATCATATACCCCAGCGGGTGAACATTCCTTGTTTGTTTCATTTTAAGCAGGCTTCGAACATAGGTGTATACTTTCTTTTGCCTGGCCGTTGGCATCAACCAGTGTGTATTCATCGTATATAAAATACACGGTTTGCTTGAAACCGTCATTGAAAGTACAAACATCAGTAGAATAGAAGCTGTCAGAAGTACATTGAAGTGAGTGGCTGTACTATGGGTTATGTAGGCTTATAACAATGGGTGTTACATTGACTGCTGTCAGTTTGATGTTGAAGGAAATGGAAGCATGTAGCAGACGCTGCCGACTCTGGTGAAACCGACAAGCACCTGTATGCTGCTGACAGACAACGGACGAAACTCGAGGAGCTCCCGGAGACCTACTTGAACTGAGTTTGTCGCTACCCAAACATCTACAGCGTTAAGGATTTCTTTGTATTTGTACATCATTTGAATTTATAATTCTATTGTAAGAGTCGATTTGTGCATTATAATCCAAGAACTATTTATTTTCTTTCTACAAAGGCGTAGTATTTCAAAGCTACCTCGTCAGAATTCATACACCTCTTATATTTAACTATTATGGTATATGAGTATATTCAATTTGATATGTTGGTAATATTGGTATTTTTAATTAAATCAAGTTTCCTATAGCCGTCAAAATTCATTGGATTTTGGAAAAATAACTCTTTGAATTCATAGTTAAAATATAACATTGCGATCTTAAAGTAGACGTATCTTACCCTATGGCCGTTGATGTAGACGTCCGTTGTCGTCACTGGGTACACTGATGGTTCTTTCTTCACACACAGGAACCACGAAAGAGTTCCAAGAAATATCTTCCTGATCCAGCGAGGAACTGGGACGCCATGCTGACCTCTGAAGTGCACGTTGAGCACGGTCACTGTGAGGGCCGTCGAAAGGGTCACCAGCAGCAGGACCACGCAGAAGTAGATTCCTGTGGAAGGATGGAGTATTTAGTTGTCTTAAATCAGGCTGAATGTGTTTGGTGGTTAAAGCGTTCGCTCGTAACACCGAAGGTCTGGGTTCGATTCCCCACATGGGCACAATGTGTGAAGCCTTTTTTTTTAACTGAGACTGAATAGCGTATTTAGAACATACCTATGTAAGGGAAGTTGTCCGACGTTGGCGGTAACGACTGGGCGACAAGCAGCATGAACACTGACAGAGACAGCAACACCGTGATTTCAAGCGCCACCTTCTCCCCGGCGTCTGGGGGTAGCAGGAACCCAAGCAGACCCACAGCGGAGATCAGTATACAGGGGAACAACAGGTTCACTACGTAAAAGAACGGCTTACGTCGCAGAGAGACGTAGAACGTCACGTCAGGGTAGGGTTCTGGGCAGCAGCTGTAGAACTGCTCGTGCCGCACCCCTGGGACACTTAGCAGCTCCCACTCCGTGTTGACCTTGTAGTCGGACATGTCCCCTGCCTTGGGGCCAACGGTGATGTTGATCTGGTGGCCATTGAAGGCCCAGGAACCGAACCGAAGGGCGCATGTTTGGCCATCGAAGGGGAAGTAGGTGACGTCGACGGGACAGAGGCTTTCGATGACGGTGGGGAAGTTGTAGCTTGCGGCGCCGTCTGAGGTGAAGGTCGGCCTGTAGTCCTTCAGGCCAATAAGCTCGTCTCCAGCACTGGGGGAGAATCCAGGAGAATTGTTATGTTTGTTATGGCAACACATAGATCACGCAGGGATGTGGGCATTTAGAAGGGTTTGGAGACATGGTGGTCAATCGATGGTTGCTTGATTTTTTTTGATTTTTTTTTTTTTGGGGGGGGGGGCTTGTTTATTTGTTGTTTAACACCGCACTCAGCAATATTTCTAGCTATATGACGACGGTCTGGACCAGACAATCCAGTAATTGCCACAATAAACATCGACTCACGCATTTGCGAAACACTAACATGGAATCAACCAAGTCACCGGGCCTGATAACATTATCCATTTAGTCGCCTCGTTATTGTTACCCGGAATCCTCATTGGTCAATATGAGGGACAGCGTTACAAAAAGCCATCACTAATGTGTATCTCACTCACTTGTCATATAGAGTAATATCCGGGGTCCATACTTTTGCATAGGGGAGGACAAGTTGTGAGATGCCCCCGTACTCGCTGGCGTTCCAGGTCATCTGACAGTCATACCAGTTCTACAACAAACATATTATGATTAACACAAATATAGACCTATGACAGCAGATGATTCTTCTTCACTCTGGGACAAGGCTTGGTGTTCGTGTGTTGTGTGTTGTGTGTATAGAGTGTAGAAACCAGTCGCATCTCGAACAGTGATCGCACAGGTAAATCAGGTAACAATGGGCAGTTCGTGTGAGATAAGGTTAACAGAAGAACCCCATATCAACTTGAATGGTTGATAAAGAGTGTAACAGCAGTACTAACCAATCGGATCCAGGCGTTGAGTGTCAATATCTGTTTGGGTTCATCCTGTAACAGAAGCAAAGGTGCATCTATATTATGATGGCGACAGGGAATTCGAGAAAACCGTGTTTGAACAGGTTTTAATTACAAATGTATATGTATATCAGCATGGTTTCTATTTTAAACTAGGAGTAATAACAACCTTCTCTGACAATTGTTTAAATACATCTTCACACAGTGTTGGTGTTGGTTACAATTGTTTTCATCTAAGGGTAAAACGTCACGATCCCAATTTAAAGGTTTCAAAATCTTTTGTATTGAAATCCTTATATTACCAACCAAACACGGATTCAACCGTCAATTTAGCTTACACACTTGCCATACTTTTCGTCTTCCACAAAGACGTATATAAGTTTTGTTGTTCACTTCCCATCACTACTGTTTTGTTTCGACATTTTTGTGAGTGTATATATCCCTAAGGCTTTCCCATTTTTTCTGGAAACATATCAAGGTGGGACACGTATGTGGCTTTTGAATTTTCTTGATTCTAATAATTGACGTGCGGACCACCCCATGCATGTATCGCATCTTATATCTTAGCCCCATGTCAGAATGTTGAATACTCGGGGTATATGTGGTTTTATGCACCCTTGTTAGGTTTTATACCACCAGACTCTTGCTCTTGATGTGAAAACTTACGCGGGTCGCATAAAACCACATAATCCCCTCGCTATACTGCTACAACGTATAACACATGGACATGTGAAATCAAAATATGTCGTTCACTTTACATTGGAGAATATAACATGATGATAATAACTGACTTGTAATTGATTTCCGGACGGTAGGGCAGCACGTGCTATGTCTGAGCACTCCTGATGACATCACTGATTTTCAGAGATCCATTCATTAATTTACACCACTATTTTGCCTTTTACGCCCAATGAAAACTGTTTCGATGGATAATCGAGACTGGTTATTCTCCGTAATTGACGATTTTTAAATCGGGTGTCCCGATCAGTGAATGCACAAAAGAACAAAGTAAATAAAAAGATTTGCTGCCCAACAAGACCCATCGTGGATTAGCTGTCTACTAACCAGCTCCATGATCTGTCTGATTACAGACCAACAAGACCTGATGTGGATTAGCTGTCTACTAACCAGCTCCATGATCTATCTGATTACAGACCAACAAGACCTGATGTGCATTAGGTGTCTACTAACCAGCTCCATGATCTATCTGATTACAGACCAACAAGACCTGATGTGGATTAGCTGTCTACTAACCAACTCCATGATCTATCTGATTACAGACCAACAAGACCTGATGTGGATTAGCTGTCTACTAACCAGCTCCAGGATCTATCTGATTACAGACCAACAAGACCTGATGTGGATTAGGTGTCTACTAACCAGCTCCATGATCTGTCTGATTGCGATGCCAACTTTGACCTCTATAGGAGCGTCCGCTCCACAGATTGGCCGCACTTCACTCTTGTAATGAGTAAACAGCTTGTCCAGCAGTGCTTTCTGCTTGCCATGGATTCCTGCCACTGTAGAGAAATATGAAAATGTGTCTTTACTCTATACCGCACATTAATATAATAAAATACAACATTATCTTTCTGACGAAACAACAAAAAACTAGCCAGCGTTCTCCAAAAATAAATTCTATAAAACCGTATTTTGTTGTGTATTGATAAGTGGTATTTTAGGTTCAGGAAAAAGCAAGAAGATTTTGTTTAGGAGTATATGTTTTCAGTCGAGATTATGCAGAGAAAAATCCGGTGTCTTAATCGTTGAATTTAGAGTCCTTTGGTGCGACAACTCACGTTCATTGTTGTCTTTGGTATCATGATATTTCCAAATTCAAATCATGAACCATATTATGTCATACAGAGCTTTGATAGGTTGATATCATATCAAATGCAGTCCTACTTAACCCAAAAGCAGAAACAAAATGCATAAATGTCCTCTATATGTTTTCCTGATTAATATTCTCCAAAATCTCCTCGAACAGATGCTAATATCCATTAACTGTTCAGTATTGTATCTGAATCTATGTATAATTCGTGCAGTGTGTAAACCAACAAACGTGGTTGGTTGTGATTATGAACACCTTAACCAGCTTATTGTTTCCACAGAATGGGGGAAAAACTAGCCAGTGAAGCTTGTGACGCCCTAACAACAGCAGTCAGTCAATATGTGAAAAGGCAAAACTATCCAACAATCCAAATTACTTCATACATGAGGTACACAAAACAAAGAAATACTGTTAAAAATCTCCGAAAACAAGCACAGGAGAGCTTCCATTGTAATTTAGATGGGGTTTTTATCAACTGTATCCAAAGAAAATAACTCCAACTATTGGAAGATATATTTTGAAGGATTCTGGTACAAAAACAACTGTACCCCGTTTGGTCACTGGTGTTTCAAGAATGCCAACCGCTTTTTCAGATTCGGAAAGGTCGGAAGCATTTAATAAGTACTTCATTTCAGTTACACATATCGATGATTTTAACCATGTGTACCTGATACTGATCACATTAGTGGTTGTGAACTTCAAGAGTTTCCTCTTGAACATAACGAAATAATCGATTTGAAAAAGTCACTTTATGAAGGAGGAAGCATATACTCCGAAACGAAGTGTTCCTCATAATAAGGAAGTTGACATCCATTATTTCTCTTCCTTATTCGACGGTGATTCATATAACGTGCTAATGATAAAGACAAACCACTTTTCTAAGTGAAGGAGAACAAGAAGGTGAAAGATCCAAGATTCAAATGCATATTAGATTATCAAGGATCCTTGTTCCTTGTCAAGCTAACTACCCATGCATGCTACTGCTTGAGATCAAGAAAGAGAACGTTAGAAGACTACTACTTGGAAACTTTATTTGTTTTCTGTCTTAAACGTTCGCCAGACCCGTGTTGAAAATATGACCTGCAATGTAGTCTACAACAGTGTTTTACTCACCCAGGAGTCCCATGAATATTACCAATCCTACGTCAGCCATTTCACTTCACATACACTATGTCCCTGTGGGGATGTGTGTTCCGGTCCTACCAAGTGTTCAGATACAACTAATGACCTCACAGATTGTGTCATACCTATAAGTAACGGATTCCAAGGGGCGTTACTGCTAATCATTTCACTGTAAGGTAGTATAACCAACCAAATGTGCAGCATAAATCCACCAATTATCCCTCCTTGTTAAATAATGTTTGTTTTAATTGTTTAAATATATACCCCCAGCAGACGCGAGGTGGCTAAATACCAATTAAAGAATACCCTGAAACAAAGACATCACAATGGTTTACAGGCGCCGCATGTCAAACCGACGAGTATAGCTTGGAAGTTGATTCAACAATAGCTTTCAGCAGATTCTGTCACATCGCCTGCAGCAGTGTCATGACCTATAACAACAAGTGTTGGTCTTTGTACAACGAGTAAGCATATACTCGGAAACGTTGTGTTCCTCATAATAAAGAAGTTGATATCCATATATTCTCTTCTCTTTTTTTATAACGAATTTATATAAAATAGCATAAGGAATCAATCCATATACTTAAACAGAAGTACAAGCCCATGTTGGATCAGTGAAGAAGCCTGATGATGTGGACTACTTGAGTTATAAGTGCGTCTTACCGTTAACACAGTCATCTCAGACTTATAGGATACCAGTGTAAATATTCAATATTTAATAGGAAGTAAATGTGCAATCATGTACAATATGAAACTATATCTCTATGACAACAAAAATAATGAGGAATGAGAGAAATAATACACGTCACAGTTGTATCCAACTCTACGAAATGCTTTAGGAATCATATTTCGGCCCTGAATCGAAGTTCCCCATATCAGGCTTCAGTTTAATCCGACGCGATCAGACCAAATTAACAAAGGGTCAGGCGTTGGGGGATTAGCGATCCTTTAAAGGGGATTAAAAGTAAACTGAGCTCAGGTAGCTTAAAATGACATACGTCAAAGACAATTAAATAACAAAACACATTAAACTAATTAACATACAACGTCTGTCTTTCATCAGCTACATCGATGAGGGAATACTTAAGATACCACCAAATTGCAAGTGATGTTACGGACTAGTAATTATTGTTTACCCCTAACATGATGTGCAGAATTCATACACAATAGGATATCCACTCTTGATTGTATGTTATCTGCATTTGGCCCCGATTGGTTTGGGAATTTGAAACTACAAACTTTCAAATTTCTGAAAATTGCAACCGGTCTTCGTTACTAAATGCCAAAGTTCAAGGTCTACAGTAAATTTGGAAAAGAATCATGTATAAACTCATCATCATATTTTGGCATATAATTGCAACAAATAAGAAAACCCCAAAATTAACAAACATTTGAATCCAGTTTATCACTCATAATGGACACCCATGTTGTTGCTAAACTCATATGAGATTAGTTTCGTGAAAAAGCTACTTAATGATTGTGGACTTACTGAATTGTTTGATAACCTGTCCATATGTTCTTGGTAATGGTTGATAAAAGGACTATTTAAATATCAATATTTGCAAAACTGGCGCAGCTGTATTTTGGAAAATTCAATAGATTTGTACTACAAAGAATTAAAAAAAACTTTATCTTTTGAAAATTATCTCGAATCTTCTCCATTAGCGAATTATGTACATTCCCAAAGCAATCAACGAGTGGCCAAATATGTACAAATATAAAAAATTGTTGTTACCCCAGACTGGGAAAAATTAAAGAATCTTTCAAAATTGTTTAATGGACTTTTTAAACATGTTCCGATAAACATAATTTCCAGTTCTGTCACCCTACTTGTATATCTATTGAATGTAAATATGTATGCTCATGTACCACCGTTCGCCCCACCGGTGGCACCCGTCACAAACACATGCACAGGCAAGTCAAGACATACTATCTACCTGTTACCTAAACTATTTCTTGTCATGGCCCGATTTGATATTTTCTTTGTTTAGGATAGAATTCCTCATTAATGTTTCCCTATTAGACTAAAATCTAGTCTCTGAAATGAACATATCGTACATAAAAAAAACAGTTGTTTAGTTATCTTAATAAAAATATAATAAAAAGGAGCCCAGTGACTCTCTTCATTCCTGATACTGCAGTGATCTAGACTTGCCAAACATTATAGACTTGCATGGGCTGTATTTGATATATATTTGTATCAGGGTCTGAAAGACAGACTATTTCCCTATATGTTGTTGACTATAAGAATGTTTTCCCTTTGAGTGGAGGCAGAACATGTAGTTTGGTTTCAATGTTAAATCATTCAACTAGCCATAGCATGCAATAATTCAATTTATGAATATTAGTACTCTTTATTCTTCAGAGTTCCATAAGCGCTGCAATTATGCGTAAAATATGCAAGCTAAATTAGTTTGGAGTTGTTTGCGTACAAATACGCATGATAATATATCTATAATATGTACGTAATTACCTAATGTAGACTTTCAAGCTTGCGAACTATTATTCCTTGACATGTCTTGACTTACTAACAGCATGCATACATAGTTGAACTCTACCACATTAAATAATGCCCAAAAGTGCCACGCCAAGAAAACATTTTAACTTAACCTGTGTATGTGATGTGACACATATGGAGCACCACATAAACAGATGCAAATCAGAAGGTGACACAGCATTTGAAGGCGTTTGTTTTTTTTGGGTTTTTTTTAGAAAAGGTCCCATTGGTTTAAAAATACCTTGATAGCCTGGACTTAAAAGAATTAAAATAAATATTGAACACAATTAATGCCCAATCAAAGATAACACATGAGTACATATGCAATGGCTCAAACAATTATATGGGATTCTATAATTGTACATGTTTTGGCAGAGATTTCTTATGAATGTGGAAAGGGTTTTGCTGCTTAGGTTAATGTTATGGATGTTTCACATTTGTCCGTTCGTTTGTTTGTACTGCAACAAAAGACCCCTTCTTCCAAATGTGTACTGAGCATTTCAATATCACTTTTACAAACAAGTAAACTTTACATTTTGAAGAATTGAAAATTGTCGACAAAGAAGCTCATTTCAATGAAAACTAAAGCGTTTGTAACAGAGAATGTCTGAGGATTTTAGAACACCCTAATTGATAATGAATTAAGGTTTTCATGAAACTTCGAAAACAAGAAAACTAGATTATTTGCCACAATGTCAGCTCCTTAGCTGTATTTTCAGAAGATTTTCATAACACCCTAATTGACTATGCAGTAAAAGTTGAATTTTAAGAAATTCAAACACTTTGTCATGGTACTTGTTAGAAATAGGGTGTTTGAAATCAGTCGAAAATCCAATTTTGTCTACCATATGCAAAGTTATGCCAGAGTTAACCCTATATATTTTAAAGTGATTTTATGAACGGATATTCACCAAACTATGCAAACCAGACCTCCCATACAAAGCCAACATCTGAGAAAAAGTCTTACCGCTTGTGAACTGTTCATAAACAACGCTTGGTTATCCAATTAATCTAATTACTTCAATGAGGTATTAAACATCACTTTGTATCCATTTGTCTAATTACTATCATTATCTTATATCATTTTTAATAAGAAAAGAAATAATTCTGAGTAACTGCGTCCATGAATTGTACTGGGGATCACAGGTATCAGGTAAATATGACTGTGGCATAGCAGTCATACTATTTTGATATTTATGAAAAAACAAAAACATTGTATCCAATTATTAGTATGTATTTCAAACAAATTAAGTAGTTTGGCACATGTATTTTCACCTCCCCGTAAACCCATTGGCACAGGTTTCCTGTATTGTCGCTGCTCCTCTAAAACCTCAGGGTTTATGAAGAAACTGTGTGTGTTTTTACCTTTCATGTATTACCTAATATCATGTTCCAGGAACTTTCAGGTGAGCTGCAGAAGATCTTCCTATGCTTGTCTCATCTCGTGATTAACACTGTTAACATGCTCAGTCCATGAGAACACATGTTATTTGACAATAACAAATAGCCAAATATCCTCAATTTATCCAAGGTTAAATGTTTCAAACAATTTGCTCAATGGATATAACGACGGGCCAATGGAAACTGTTTCAGAATGAATGCTAATGAAAGCGACAAAACAATTTCTGTAATCGTAAAAAATGATAAACGTGTGTTTATGCAGTCAGCTGTTCACCTGAACAAGCTAGGAACGTATGGTACAAGTTAAAATATAGACCAGTGACATATTTTTTGTCACTGGTGCGTCAAATTTAGAAATGACCTCCACGGGTCTGCCATAAATGTTTTGAATGCTGTAACCCTGATCAAAAACATTTGAGCAAGAGTTTTATGACGCTCTTTCGTAGAAAGAGTATGCTAGATTGTCGGTTGCACGATGTTTCGTGACAATATCAGGCCAAATATCATCAATTAATTAACGTATCATACAATTTACACAGCCGACATAACAATATGCCACTGCACATATTAATAGCAAGGCATCTTGTCCAATACAATATTTTTCAAAAGATACTATTTGTATTCTAGTAATATCGCAAATGTGTGTTAACATTTACGAAGAGAAGGAAATGATTTTCAAAACATATTTCTGAAAGTCATCTTCATCATTCATTGTTCTCCCAGGGCAAGAATTGATTGTTACAGTTTTGTTTTAGACAGACGACGATGAAGGTCTGCGATCCATCCTGCAGGGACTTTCGATGCCTGGTTGTTACAAGGTTCGCGTGGCTTTAGAAGAAGACTTCGTTCCTGCCGTAGTAACTGAAGTCGAAGCATACAATATTTGCTTGCCAAAATCTGTTTTCCTATTCTCATTCATTACCGAGAATTTCATGTCTCGCGGCGACATATGGAGGGTACTGTAGCAGCAAGGAATTCGCTTATGTATGCTCTGCCTTTGGTAAATATGTTATTCCGACTTACGCTGATAATAAACATACAGTTACGTATTTAAGTGAATATAAAACCTTAAGATGCCTTCGCGAAATAAAGCACCACAAGTGTAAATGGAGTGACTACACAAAGAATGCATT